GAGTCCCTAGGATATCCACTTTTTGAGAATCTCCCCTTCAAAGCCACCAACTTCTTCTCCAACATCTCAATATAGTTATAGTTAGAAGTTATAGTTCTTCTTATCCAGCATGAAGGAAAGATATCAGAGAAATGGGTTTTCCCTACACTTCTACTTCCACTTTCATATCACAGAGAACTCCTTTCAACATTAAAGGAGAACTATGGGGTTAGGGCTTTTCCCTATAGTTCTCCTAAGGGTAACGGGAGGACACAAACTAGCGTCCTCCCGTCACCCTAAGCTCAGTATATAGGGAGCTACAGCTAGCGTTATACTGAGATGCCGCAGCTGGAAAGGATCCCGACAATTATGTCTGGATCCGCCTAGCTGCGTGAGTGACAGCTGGCTCTGCCCATCTAGAGGCAGAGCCAGCTGTACCCGCCCCCTCTCCCGTCCGTTCCGCCAGTCAGCGCTGGAGGATCAGAGCGGGGAGGGGGGAATCCAGCCCCTCTCCTGTCACGGCAGAGAGCTGTGAAAGGATCGAGAAGTGAGCGACAGGATCGAGAAGTGAGCGAACGCCGGTATGTGTTCCCTCACCTCCCGATCTACTGAGCCGACCTGTGACAAAGTCTCATTGTCACAGGTCGGCTAGAACTATGAGGATGAGTGAAAATCACTCACCTCATTGTTCTCCTTTAAGTCCATAAAGTTTATAGATTGTTTATGGCCTTCAAGAGTGAATCGTAAATTGTACTCATCCTGATTCAGATAGTTGACCCATGACCTATTCCAGATCACCATCCATTATAAAAATCATATCCTCAATATGACAATAAAACAAGTAGATGAATGATCTGTAAGAGTTACTATCTTCAAAGATGATGTGCTCCTCCTACCAGTATCCCATATAAAGTTTGGCACGTTTCTACCATTGGCAACAAGTCATATTTTCAATTCCCAGACAGATAAATTGCTGCCAGCGCTGGAGGGAGTTCACGATTTACAGCCCCGTAATTGAAAATATTGATTCCGAAGCCTTGGTGATTCAATGCACCACACCTTTGGAGATAGTATTTTCCATCAAACAAAAGTAATCATGCCTAACTCCCCCAAGAGTTGACAGTTACTTATCTCCCTTGACGTTAAAGCTGAACTCCAGTGAGAACTACGAACTCTCCATTCCAAAGTCACCTCGTTACCTTAACTGAACCGGCAATCATTTTTTGAGTAGACTTCATTGGTTGTCCATGAATAAATAGCCTTGAAATGGCTCCAGCACAAGGCTTGACTACACATCTTTAGTACCAAGTTCATAAGAGTGGTAGCCATCTTGCTCTCTCTATGAGCTGGCTACTGGTAGTGTGAGCTCCTCTCTATAGTTCCTGTAGGACAGAGCTGATGTTAGTACAACAATGCGCCTTTTACGGATGGATATGTTCTATGTTCTTCCCTGGTCTTAAACCGCCCTTCCCTACCCCTCCTCCTGTCTACCCAAGGTAGCATCAATGCTCGGGAAAGACGGTGGCATCACAGACATTTAAAGAATAATTTTCTCAGCTATTAAGTGTTTTTTTAAACACATTTTTGGGCAATTGTGGACAATTTTATGGCACAAAAAAGGGTGATCCAGGAGTTCACTTTTAAGCCTCTATTGACACTTTGGCGTTGCTGGCACGTGTGTGATGCTGCATCTCAATGTAACCCCAGGGCACTTAGCCATCACATGTGCATTGTATTGCATCACATTTCATGGTAACCTATCACCATGCAATGTTGTGCGATGCAATTTTTAAGAAAAGGTGCTGGCACTTCTCTTGAGTGCGATTTAGCTGCAGTAGACAGCCCATTCAAATGAATGAGCCGCCCTACCGCAGCAACACCACAAAGTGCCCTGCAGAGCTCCTGTGATGTTGCATCACATAGGTGTGAATGGAGGTTGCCAACAGTAGAAATAAGAGAGAAAAGATGAGGCTGAATTTTGGGGAATAGTTTTCCCAGAAAAGGTTACAAACTCCTCTCCAGTGACACCCGCCATCAAGTCTCCATTCACACAACGTGCTAAACATAAAAACAATGCATTCTAATGTACATTGTTCACACTAGGGCAGCGCCAGGGGCGGATTCGGCACGTTCTGGCTATAGTAATAGAAACACCACATGTGAATGGAGCCTTACACAGGGAAACGTTTCTTCTGTAGCTTATGTAACATTTAGTTACAGTCTTGCAGGTCACGGTGAGGGTTGCTCAATCCTGTTCTAAAATTAAACAAAAGTTAATGTTTCACTTTCCTGTAGGTTGTTTGGTTGCTATTTCTAGATTGAGCAACATATTTAATGATCTCCTTATATTTTTGTCCCACTTCCGCTTACAGCGATACTTGATCTATTAAAAATAAATATAGTGTAAACAGAAACTCTAGGTAGAAATAAAAGACACAAATGAATGCAGCTCTGTATTCATTAATACATTATTAAATGCAGAGGCGTCCCAAGGTAGTTGCAGGAAGGGGGGGGGGGGGCAGCCCTCACTGGGTGACACCAAAATAACTGTCAGTCACTTTGGTGTCACCCCCTCTGAAAAGTCGGGCACCAAGAGTCATTGACTGAGAGCCCAACAGCTGCACGAGAGAGGAGGGGACCCAGCAGCATGCTTTATCCCGCTGGATGAACGTCCCCTCCTCTCTTTGCTGGCGTCCATACCAAGATGGTCACTAGCAGTGAAGTGCCTGTGAGATCATTATGTGCATGCGTGTGGGAGGAAAACGGAGTTCCCAGAGAAAATTAAAATCAAACAAACAATCAGACTGAATTTTGTGTGAACACCATAATGCGTTTTATTTGTAGTATGTAAATGCAAAATCCAGCTGTTTCACGTGGTCAGCCCCTGTTTCATGCGGTATAAAGCTTTGTCCTTACGCACTATGATCAGTTTGATGGGTTTGGTACCCAAAGCCTGCAATAAGTTATGGATTTTTAGATTGCAAGCTCTTATATTGTAAAGCGCTGAGCAAACTGTTGGCACTATATGAATCCTGTATAATAATAATAATAATAAAAATAATGATAATAATAATAAATAGCAGTGAGAAACAGACAATGTCATAGCGCCGAGAGAACACAAATCCTTGGCAAGCCTTGTTCCTTGAGTTTTAATCAGAGAACAAATGAATTCCATTCCTGGTAGCGCCCCTTAGTGGGCTACAAGTGCATTACAGCCAAACTGCACTAGATGACGGGCTGTGTTGTACATGCTACATTGCCTTAGTGCGTTAGGGTGCCATTCAAAATGAAAGACACTTACTAGATTTGGGCTACTCATTGTTCTCAGGGATCTTGTTGGCAGGAAGATGAAGTCGCCCCCCTGCACTGCAGAAGTCGGGGAATGGTGAGTATATGGGTGGCAATGTGAGCGTCCATCAACTAGACCAGTGATGACTTATGTATGAGCCTGAGTGCCCAAACTGGGGTTTACAAAACGTTCAGTGACACTGCCCGGGGCAAAATAGGAAAACACACATATTCAAACTTTTATACACTCACAGATACAAACTCATATAATTGTACATTCATAAACACACACCACAAACTCATAAAACACACACATTCATAAAAACACAGACACATATCACACGCATAAAACACAGACACATATCACACACATAAAACACAGACACATAAAACACGCACAAACATTAACAAAAATGACAATTTTATAATTCATAATAATAAAAAAAAAAACGTGCCCGCTCTCAAGCTTACGTGTTTTGCATCTCTGGGGTCCAGTAGGGCACTCAGGAAAATCAGGAAGAGCTGGAAGTCCTCAATGCTGGGAGCTGTTGTTCCTCATCAGAACCTCAGACTATCCTGGAAACCAAGGAGAGCTGGCAGCCATCAATAGGGTTGTCACCTGTCCAGAATTCACCTGGATAGTCCGGGTTTTGAATGCTGTGTCCGGGTTTCATGGCAGCAGAAACCCGGACACAAGATGCCAGGCAGACAGGGGCAACCAAAATGAAGATAGGGGCTACTGGTCTCAACTGTGATATTTACATATGAATGGGTGGCAGTATTTACATATGAATAAACCACGACTCATTCTCCCCTTAAAATGTCTGCGTGTCGCTAGAGTGTTCGGGTTTCGCTTGAAGAAAAGGTGGCAACCCTAGCCATCAATGCAGACTGTCCTGAAAATAAAGTAGAGCTGAGAGCCATCAATGCTGGGAGTAGTAGCTCCTCAGCAGAACCTCAGACTGTCCTGAAAATAAAGGAGAGCTGAGAGCCATCAATGCTGGGAGTAGTAGCTCCTCAGCAGAACCTCAGACTGTCCTGAAAATAAAGGAGAGCTGGAAGTCCTCAATGGTGGGAGTTGTAGTTCCTCAGCAGAACCTTAGACTTTCCCAAAAAGCAGTCATGGCTGGCAGTCATCAATGCTGAGAGTTGTAGTTTCTCAGGAGGCAGCTCCAGAAAGAGTCTCTCCAGGGCTACAGGATGAAAAATGTATTCCTTCGTTCATTCATAGAATCAGTCTGAAGTGTCAGGTCCACTTTAATAATACACCCGGCGCCTGGCTGTCTTTACCGATTGGTTTCCATACTTCCAATCCATCGCTGACCCTGAACACGTCTGCACACCAGCAGATCTAACAAGACTCTGACATCACTTGCTGCATGCTTGCTTCAGGTCAGCGATCACACTGAGGCCATCAGATCAGTCAGGTAAGTAGAAATTTCAGATAAACAACAACAATTGGAGATCTTTCCCGTCGTTTCCCCGGGAAATGAGGGGGAATTTCTGTGGTTGGGGACACAGCCAGCAATAAAAACCCAACAAAGGCTCCAACCCTTCCTCCTTCTGCCCAAAACTAAAGAAATAAATACAAATGATTATTATTATACGGGATATATATAGCGCCAACAGTTTGCACAGCGCTTTACAATATAAGGAAGACTGGCCGGGTGACGTCACTGCACATGGCCGCCTCCCATTGGCCGAGGCGCCCCTCCAATAGCAGACGTGTCTTGAGCCAGCTGGGTGCTCGCAGTGCGGAGTGCGCGGTGCATGCTGGGAGCGGCGCTGGACAGAGGCAGAGCCGGGCACAGGGGGGACATGCTGCACCCCACACCTGTATAGGGGACACCCTGACACTGCTGGAGGTGGGTATAGTGGGGGCTCTGTGTCCATTGCTGAGCTTATACATGGCAGCTGCGGGGCATGCTGGGAAATCTGGGTACAGGCATTGTGGTCAGGGCTGCTCCTGGATGGGGATTGGTGGATCTGTGGACACAGGTATGTGTTGGGGGTTCTTCTCTCAGGGCCCAGCACATGACACTATGGTAAAGCGTGCTGTAATGCTCCAGATAACATACAATAGTACATGCATTTTTTTGGGGTGCATTCAGCAGCCCATTCATAGAACACAACACATGTCAATGCATGTAGCAGTGTGAGCTCGGCTTTAATGCGCTTCAACGCGCTGAAAATCATGGCTGACCCATTTTTGCCAGTGCTTTGCTACATGCCGCATGTGTAATTGCATCTGTGCCTTATGGTACGTTAAAGGTTCATGTTGTTTACTTCTCTGATGTACATTGGGGGCTCATTAGGCCCCGTTCACACCTTTTACCGCATATCAACGCATGTGCACAGCTGTGCACTACTAGGTAATGCAATGACCTGCCTGAGTGAACGAACAGATTGTCCGGGCAGATCCTCGCATTACTTGGCTTTGGGTAACCTAAAGCTGGCTGTACATACTCACCTGATCCTCAGAGCTGATTGGCTCTTAGACCGGCCCATGAAACATCTCTCCCCCCCGGCTCCAGCGGTCTAAGGTCCCTGAGCCTTCCACATTCTATACACGATTGGGGGGGATTGATCAAAACTGGAGCAGACAGAACATGGCAACCAATCAGCATCTCTCTTCAGTTTGTTCAGGTAAGATTTGCTGATTGGTTGCCGTGCAAATCTGCTCCAGGTTTTATAATTTCCCCCCAGTATAATGGACATGAGGATGCTGAAAGACGTACCATTGCTGCAGCAGAGGGGGAGACAGGTAGCCCCACTGCAAGAGCTAAGTACAGTTTTGCCCAGAGTTCTGCTTCAATGCTGCCGTACTAATGTGCCTTATGTCGTGCCTTACATCAAGACAGGAATGGGCTGCCGGCGCACTGAAAATGGTACATGCATCTATTCGGACCCCACAATGTACATCTGTCGGCAAGGTGCGTTGGGGTTCCATTCCCAATGAATGGCACCTCAGCACACAAATGCATGGAATGCAATGAAATGCATGGTATTGTGGTAAGCCGACACTGTGGATGGGCCCTTAGTCTATCTTTTTGTACAATCTCCTTTAGGCCCCGTTCACACCGGGGGCGGATCTGCCGACTTGAACGACACCATACATTGCTATGGGGACTGTTCATGCGACCGTGCGGCTCCCCGCGGTCCGAAACGCCTGAGTTGCTCCCTGACCCTTTTTTGCTGCGCTGATCAGTGCGGTTTCCATACTGCTTTCAATGGAACCACGCTGTTCAGCGCAGTTTTGGGCCTTTTTAATTGCGCTTCAGCGCTGAAACGCAAATTAAAAACACCCAAAACCGCCGTTTTAAAATCTGCGCGGAAACCGCGCTGATCTGCAACTACCCTGGTGTGAATGGGGCCTTAGATCTTCCAATAACTATGCAGTGCTAGAGCATGATTGGCTGCAGATTGGGCTGTTTAGCTCTGCCCTCGTAATACATCATTTTGGTAAGTCTTGTGCAGAGATTGGACGCTCAGATTGTTATGATTGTGAGCCGGTTGTACAATCCGATTGTAACACATGAGGTGAGCTTTGCACTGAGACGGATGCAGCAGGTGAGACTATGGTGGTCCGGGGATCAGCACCCCAGCAGGTGACGCGGCTCTAGTATCCTCCCGTCTGTATCCGGCATGTCTGATCCTTTGTGTACGTGAGAAACAATGGCGGCTGCATGCCGGCGTCTAATGTCACGGTGCACATCTGTTCCTCGGCTCCCTTCAGACTCCGCTCTCCTAATAAATACTTAAATAGCAATTTCCTCCTCTGCCTCTGAGTCCGCTGAGACCTCGGGCTGTCCTCGCCCAGCAAGCAGCCACACAGCGCTCGCTCAGGGTGACACTAAGCCCCGGTTGTACGTGAGGGGACACTGAATAATAGGAAAAGGACGTCATAGATACAATGGGGGGAATTTATCAAAATCTGGAGCAGATTTGCACAGCGACCAATCAGCTTCTCTGTCTCATTTTTAAATCTTACCTGAGCAAACTGAAGGGAGATGCTGATTGGTTGCCATGGGCAACTACTCCAGATGTTGTCTGCTCCAGTTTTGATAAATTCCCCCCAATGTATAAAGTTTCTGCTTACCCTGTCGTCATATTTCCTATATACTGGAGGGTTCAATGTGAGCACGCTGTAGCAGAAGTTACCTTCAGTGAAAACCGCATGTCTGACCAATCGGTAGATCCAGGGATACAGACGAGGGCAAGGTGTCCTCTGAAATACTAGAGATGGCAGGCAGAGCTGCCCTATGATTGGCTGTCTTCGCTGTCAGTCAGCTCTCCTTGCTCCTCTCTGCAGTGGGTGGGAGGCAGGAGCTTCCTGTAATAAAGACCGCTCGCTGTTGCTCTCTCTCCTTGTGCAGGGCGACTGGTCTTGTCCCACCCCCTCCTGTAATAAAGACCGCTCACTGCTGCTCTCTCTCCTTGTGCAGGGTGACTGTTCTTTATTACAGGAGGAGGCAGAGACAAGACCAGTCACTGTTCCTTTCTCTGCTTGTGCAGGGTGACAGGTCTTGTCTCTGTTCCCTCCTGTAAGAGCAGCAGTGACTGTTCTTTTATATCTCCTTGTGCAGGGTGACTGGCCTTGTCTCCGCCCCCTCCTGTAATAAAGACCGCTCACTGCTACTCTCTCTCCTTGTGCAGGGTGACTGGTCTTGTCTCCGCCCCCTCCTGTAATAAAGACTGGTCAATGCTGCTCTCTCTCCTTGTGCAGGGTGACTGGTCTTGTCTCCACCCTTAGTCTATCTTTTTGTACAATCTCCTTTAGGCCCCGTTCACACCGGGGGCGGATCTGCCGACTTGAACGACACCATACATTGCTATGGGGACTGTTCATGCGACCGTGCGGCTCCCCGCGGTCCGAAACGCCTGAGTTGCTCCCTGACCCTTTTTTGCTGCGCTGATCAGTGCGGTTTCCATACTGCTTTCAATGGAACCACGCTGTTCAGCGCAGTTTTGGGCCTTTTTAATTGCGCTTCAGCGCTGAAACGCAAATTAAAAACACCCAAAACCGCCGTTTTAAAATCTGCGCGGAAACCGCGCTGATCTGCAACTACCCTGGTGTGAATGGGGCCTTAGATCTTCCAATAACTATGCAGTGCTAGAGCATGATTGGCTGCAGATTGGGCTGTTTAGCTCTGCCCTCGTAATACATCATTTTGGTAAGTCTTGTGCAGAGATTGGACGCTCAGATTGTTATGATTGTGAGCCGGTTGTACAATCCGATTGTAACACATGAGGTGAGCTTTGCACTGAGACGGATGCAGCAGGTGAGACTATGGTGGTCCGGGGATCAGCACCCCAGCAGGTGACGCGGCTCTAGTATCCTCCCGTCTGTATCCGGCATGTCTGATCCTTTGTGTACGTGAGAAACAATGGCGGCTGCATGCCGGCGTCTAATGTCACGGTGCACATCTGTTCCTCGGCTCCCTTCAGACTCCGCTCTCCTAATAAATACTTAAATAGCAATTTCCTCCTCTGCCTCTGAGTCCGCTGAGACCTCGGGCTGTCCTCGCCCAGCAAGCAGCCACACAGCGCTCGCTCAGGGTGACACTAAGCCCCGGTTGTACGTGAGGGGACACTGAATAATAGGAAAAGGACGTCATAGATACAATGGGGGGAATTTATCAAAATCTGGAGCAGATTTGCACAGCGACCAATCAGCTTCTCTGTCTCATTTTTAAATCTTACCTGAGCAAACTGAAGGGAGATGCTGATTGGTTGCCATGGGCAACTACTCCAGATGTTGTCTGCTCCAGTTTTGATAAATTCCCCCCAATGTATAAAGTTTCTGCTTACCCTGTCGTCATATTTCCTATATACTGGAGGGTTCAATGTGAGCACGCTGTAGCAGAAGTTACCTTCAGTGAAAACCGCATGTCTGACCAATCGGTAGATCCAGGGATACAGACGAGGGCAAGGGGTCCTCTGAAATACTAGAGATGGCAGGCAGAGCTGCCCTATGATTGGCTGTCTTCGCTGTCAGTCAGCTCTCCTTGCTCCTCTCTGCAGTGGGTGGGAGGCAGGAGCTTCCTGTAATAAAGACCGCTCGCTGTTGCTCTCTCTCCTTGTGCAGGGCGACTGGTCTTGTCCCACCCCCTCCTGTAATAAAGACCGCTCACTGCTGCTCTCTCTCCTTGTGCAGGGTGACTGTTCTTTATTACAGGAGGAGGCAGAGACAAGACCAGTCACTGTTCCTTTCTCTGCTTGTGCAGGGTGACAGGTCTTGTCTCTGTTCCCTCCTGTAAGAGCAGCAGTGACTGTTCTTTTATATCTCCTTGTGCAGGGTGACTGGCCTTGTCTCCGCCCCCTCCTGTAATAAAGACCGCTCACTGCTACTCTCTCTCCTTGTGCAGGGTGACTGGTCTTGTCTCCGCCCCCTCCTGTAATAAAGACTGGTCAATGCTGCTCTCTCTCCTTGTGCAGGGTGACTGGTCTTGTCTCCGCCCCCTCCTATAGTTTTCTGCAGGCAGCCTGTGGTGGGTGGAGCCTGTTTGGGCCCCTCCTGCAGCTCTGCTGTCTGCACAGGCTACGTGCAGCTCAGTGATGATGTCACTGCTGCTTTTACAAGGTAACAAAGGTGTACGTAAGGTGGATTTATATCCTATGTGGCTATTCAGGAATATATTTAAATGTTTTTGTGCCATAGTTCATCTTTACTTTTTTTCCACAGCGACACAATCACTTTAGCAGTATTATAAGTACTCAGTTTTTTTTTTTTCTCTTTTCATGATGCAGTTCACTGCTGTTGACTGCAAGATGGCTCTTCGGTCAGGACTGATGGAGTTCTTTGTCGGGACGTTGATCTTCCTGTTGGTGCAGTCCAGCATCAGTGCTGCCAAGCAAGAGCCGTGCTTGACTTGCATGAACTTGGTCAACAATTTCATTAAGGTGAGAGATTTCGTTTGCTCCTCCCCAGGTCATTAGTTACATTTTTGTTTGGGTGTCCGTTGTCACTGGAACCAAATGTGATGGGAACTCCAAATTTTAGAGTTGTCACCAGAACAGGAAGTGAGGGGAAATCTTTCAATGGGGACCCTTGTTCCAGTGACAACGAAGAGGAGATTTCCCCTCACCTTGCAAACATTGCTTCATTTCCTGTTGAGTTTCTGGGATAGAATGTGTGAGGAAATCCTCCAAGAGGACAAAGCGAGCCAACAAAGTTAGCTTCAGATACACTTAAAGGAGAACTATGAGGTGAGTGTTTGATTTCCATTAATGCTCATAGTTAGAGCCGACGTGTGACAATGAAACTGTCACACGTCGGCTCTATTGATGGGAAGTGAGCAAACGCATGCCGTCGCTCGCTCACTTCTCCATCTCCCTGCAGAGAGCCGTGACTGTCAGTCACCGCTCCCCACAAGGAATCCCCCCCCCCCCCCCCCCCCTAGGGGGGACATGATTTTCATGTACAAAATGTTCCATAGTCATAGGAACATTAGCAACAAACTCTTTGAGATTAATTCCATAACAAAGACTGGAGGACACCACCTAAAACTGGTAGAAAAAAAAAAATCAAACACAAGGGGCGAAGGGGGTTCTTCTCAGTTTGCGCGGTTAGGGTCTGGAACTCGCTTCCTCAAGCGGTAATTTCCGCAATGAATCTGGAATCATTCAAGAAGCTTTTGGACGACTTCCTGAGAGACCGAAATGTACAAGGGTACAGGTACTCTTAAGAATGAGAACACTCATGGACCTATACACACACACACACACAACAGGTTGGGCTTGATGGACTTATGTTTTTATTCAACCTCAAATACTATGTAACTATGTAACTGAGAAAAAAGAATGTGTCTGTGGTATGTTCAAAACTAATTTTTATAAGCATATAAATCCCCATATGTTTATTCTAAGGAAGAGCAACAACCTAAATTGGACTTCCAAGTCAGTAGTATGATTGTATGTTAGCAACAAAAAACGACTGAAAATACACCATAGTAGGGAAAGTGTTAATGTAAATATGTTATGCATTAAAAGGAGAAGATGTGAACCAAGCATGAACTCAGGAGTTAAAGGAGAGCTATGAGGTGAGTAAAAATCACTCATCCTCATTGTTCGAGATCAGGAAGTAAGCGATCGCATACCGTCGCTCGTTCTCTTCTCGATCATCTAACTGCAGACTGCGGGGACTGTCAGTCACCACTCCCCGCAGGGATTCCCCCCTCCCCTCTCCGATCCGCTGACTGGAGGAACAGACGGTGGAGGAATGGGCACAGCTGGCTCTGCCTCTAGATAGGCAGAGCCAGCTGTCTATCAGCCAATGGGGTGGATCCCGACAGTATTGTCGGGATCCGTCCCAGCTGTGGCGCTCTCAGTATATAGCGGGCAATAGCTCGCTATATACTCATCTTTGGGTCCCTGGAGGAGGTTAGTATATGTCCTCCAGTGACCCCCCCAAAGAGAACAATGGGATAAAAAGGTTACTCCTTAGTTCTCTTTTAAAGGATCCAAGGAAATGCTCTATTCTAATTTTGTCTTTTGTAGTTGTTAGTTGTTTGTAGTGTATTTTATTTGCTGTTTTGTGGGTAATTATTGTATTAGTCTGCAGTATATGAATTGTCTTTTTTTTTTTTTTACACATTGACAAAGAGACAGGAGCTGGGAAATACCATAACTCTGCCAGGGCTGGCTACATCAGATCCAAAACTTTATTAGTTTTGAGTAGAGTGACGATGGATTAGAAGACCTGTCGGGTTTTTATTGCTGCCTGTGTCCCCGTTAGGGGACACCATCTCTGTTTGTCCTGGTGACTGTTATCCCTGAAAGGGAAAGATAATCCCAAATTTTGGATTGCCATCACAACAGGAATAGATAGTATATCTTCCAATGGGGACACTAGTTCTGGTGACCACCAGGGATTTCCTTCTCTTTGGAGGGATTTTCTCTCACTTCCTGTTGTGGCTATCGCACAGGAAGTGAAGGGAATTTTCAATGTAACGCTTACATTTTTAAATGATGGCAAAAAAATAACTGACAGAGGTTATAACGCTCCCTTACTCTATCCAAACGAAAAAATGATTTTGGCTTCAATTCATTCCTTGTTGTGCACCCTGGCAGTGCTGTGCTGCCTCCTCCTTTTCATTGACTTACAATTGCCTGGAGGTCAGAGCCGGCCTCCCATATTGATGATGTGTCTTGTAACATCCAGAAGATTTGCTGTACAGGTCAGTTGGTTTGTGCGTGCAGTCTGTGTACAGCCTTAGGTCCTCTCTGTATAGGTGATGGCTGTGTGCAGAGCTCTGTATTCTTTATTTGCATGACAAATGTTGAGGCTGAAAGCCAGCAGAGTCGCAATCTAATCGCATAAGGTGTAGCCATTCATTTTTATTTTCAGCTGCTGCCATTTTATAGGCATTATATGAATGAATCTTACTATCAATGCCTAGCAACACGTGGGGCCGGCTTCCTAGCCAATGGCGGGGCCGGCTTCCTAGCCAATTGTGAAGCCCAGAGACGGGTCATAACCCACCGCCCGGCTTCCAGATTGGAAAAGAACCCGGCTCCATGCTCACTCAGCATTGCCGGTCAGGGGGAGCTCTGCCTCTGACCGGAAGTTCTAGTATTGGAGCATTTGGGCGAGCAGGAGTACTCACCCAAATACTCAGTATCGGTATCTGTGCATCCCCAGTCTCTACTGCCGCATGCAATCTGCATCCTCACTGATCACCAACTGTAAGTGAAGTAGTTACAAGATAAGTCCCCTAGAGAGTATGTTGTTTTTTATTGTCTGATGTCGAAACTCTAAGGCCCCGTACACACCTGAGCGTTTCACCGCACGTTCCTACGCTCGGTAAAACGCGCAACAGGTGAAAACCCATGTTTGCCTATGGGCATGGTTCTCACCTGCGCGTTTTACCGCCCGTTCGATCACGTGGTAAAACGCCATGCGCCCAAAGAAGTACATGAGCTTCTTTTGGGGCGTATTAACACCCGTATCCCGCTGTTATCAGCCGGATACCCCCTCGGAAACTCGCGTTTGACGCACGTTTCTTTTACCGCAAATCGCGGTAAACGCGTGTTTCCAATACGCCAATGTGTGAAACCAGCGTAAGGCCTTGTTCACACCAAGCGCGGAGCAGGTCCAGAGCAGAGCAGTTGCAGACCGGATCAAAACTGCGTCCAATGTATTCCAATGGTATTTTTTGCTCCAGTTCACATCGCAGCGTGCAGATCCAGAGCAGGTGAAAAAACTGCAGCAAGCCCTATTTTACCTGCTCTGGATCTGCAAACGCATTAAAAACGCATGCAAATGCCTGGAACGCACTGAAAGCCCATGTTAAACTAAAAAAAATGTTTTTGTTTTTTTAGCCAAACGCATCTAAAAGACTAGCGTGCGTGTGCATAAACCTGACCGGATCTGCTCTGCATTTGGTGTAAACAAGGCCTAAGGGATCTTTTTCTAACCAGTTTGCAGAGCCAATCGCCCTCCAAACTTTCTTAAACATTCGATCAGCTGCAAAAGCGTGTTTAGGATGTCCTGCCGTACTCCTTACCGAAGAACCCCTGAAGGTGATTGCTGTAGTGACAGCGGATGGCACTGCAGGCATCGAGCGTAATACAGAATGTCTCCAGCACTCCAAACAATGCGCTCAAGTGTTTGTCCTTTTATTGACGCACATTGTCACGTTGAAGCAGCGTTTTGGGGGCGCACAGGGTCCCCTTTATCAAGCGCAGTGTGCCTGATGTACTGAACATTGAATGCTGTATATCGGTTACATTTTCTACACCTTCTGCTTTAGGGCATCGAGAAGACAGCTGGACATAACTTCGGTGGAGGCAACACAGCCTGGGAGGAGGAAAAGCTAGCCAAGTATGAAATCAGGTAATTCAGAACTTTTGATTGAAAGTAAGGCACACGCATTGGCGCACACTTTAATTTCCAGGGACAATAAAACAAGCTTCTTGATTGGCCGGTTTGACTGATATCACCAACAACTGATAGTTTGAAGGCCGGGCTTTTAGGTTTTGATTAGATGGTTGAGGATGGGCCTAGTTACTGCGAAGTTGTTGGGAAGATACATAAAGTGGGCCTTTCAGTACCTTTTTATGATCCCGCATGAATACATTTGTGATATTGCTACATAAGCAATAAATCGACCTCTGGAAGGGGAGAGGGACAAAAAAGAACCAAATCTTATTAACTGGAGGTGTACCCCGACTTCAGAAGGATCCCCGACTTCGGGAGGATACCCTCAACTTTCAATTCTATATCTCCTAGTGAATTCCTGATATGTCACAAGGTACTGCAGTGTTATCAAAAAGATCAATTTATCATTAAAAAGCACTCTTTGAGCTCCACTCCAGTGACTTTGCCAAGGCTGAGATGATGTCACCAGTCTGCTGCAGAGAGGAGGAAGCATTTCCTCAGTCTCCTTTCCCCCCCAGTGATCAGACTGTGCATTGTAACTTTGTAACAAGTCAAAAGGCTGCAGCACGGGCTGATCTGTGTCAGACACGGCTAAGAACTGCACGGCCACGAAGATGTATATGGTTGTGTCATCTCTGAGTTGGCATCTCAGTCCAGGAATTAGATGATAACCCTGGATGATACCTGAACAAAGATGGCTCAGTCCTTCTGGAGAGAGAAGTAGATGAAGGCAATGTCAGGGAGAGTAGTGTGGTCTCCTAGGTGATGAATATCTGGAAATGTTACACTTGGCATCTATGCACTGAGCATGAAAGTATACCTGATGATGGCTCCTCTTTAATATGAGAACTGGAGGGACTCAATATTAGTGGATGAGAATTTTGTCTGTTGTAACCTCCTGTGATTTTTTTATTTTTTTCTTCTTTCTTTGTCAGTGAGACGCGTCTGGTGGAGGTGATGGAAAGCGCTTGTGATAATTCCGACTTTGACTGTAACAAAATGCTGGAGCAGAATGAGGAGCATTTGGAGAATTGGTGGTTCAAGAGGTGAGGACCATCGTCATGGAGAAGGGTATAGAGCAGGGGTGGGCAAACTCCGCCCCTCCCGCTGCGGTGCAACTACAAATCCCATGAGGCATTGCAAGACTGACAGTGACAGGCATGACTCCCAGAGGCAGATGCTTGATGGGATTTGTAGGTTCACCACAGCGGGAGTGCCGGACATTGCCTAACTCTGGTGTGGAGTGATTACTGCCATATGGGCTGATCATAAAATCTTCTCTTTCTATTGAAAAACAACATATCCAGTTATATCTTTTTGTCTCTCTATTGGCACTCCAAAGATTCCATCTGTTTAGTAACCGTGACCCAACGTGGCGTTTTAGTACTTGGAGACATTCTTATCTGTCCCCGTGCTGGAGGAGCTTGCAATCCTTTGTCCCTACCGCACCACTGTAGTCCCCTTGGTGGGCTGATATTGGTAGAAGCTTATTGACCTGCTGGTGTGTTTTTGGGTTCTCAGAGGAAACCCAGCGCCGTGATCTGATGCTGGCACCCATGGTGGAAATAGAACTGAGGCCTCCAGTGCGGCAAGGCAACAGACCGGACCCGACCCAATGTACTTCCCAAGGCTTTTGAGTAGAACTCGGGAGGCAGCGGGTCATTCAGATTCTGTATGCTCAAAGTGCATTTCAAAGAAACATGGAGGCTGTCATTGCTGTCCTGTGCTAAAAATGCTAGCGGCTTGGCTATCATACTGATCCAATGTGTTCCTTATTGTTCAGCCCGTGACCTGGGAGAAAATAGGCATATGAGGAGTTCTGACTTCTACCGTCTTTGCATGTTACCCGTTCTTGGTTGGTGATAAAGACTTGTTGGTGGTTGGTGATACTCCTCTCTTTATAGGTTTCCTTGAAAGCATATTTAAACTAGTAATGCACTAATACCGGCATTTCGGTATCGAGTGCGAGTACCGATATTTTTTTTTTGGGCCAATCGGGAAGCCTGATCCTGATTGGTTGGGAAGCCGGATCCATGCCCCCTCGTCATGAGGTGACAAAGGAAGAAAGAAGCAGGCTTCCCGGCCAATCAGAAAGCCGGAAACGAGTGACGAGGGAGCACATGGAGCCAATTCCTGATTGGCTGGAAAGCTGGGCAGCGTGTAATGACGCGTTGCCTGTCTTCCTGATACCGGACGTATCGGGCTAAGCATCAGAGCATTTGGGCGCGTACGAGTACTCGCCTAAATATTCGGCACCCATAACGATACTGGTATCGGTGCATCCCCAATTTAAACCTAAGTATCCTCATGTATCACTTCCCTCTCCCTTTTTAAGCTGTAAGCCCTCAGGGGCAGGGCCCTCCTTCCCATCTTGTCTTGAATTGTATTGTGATTGTAATGTCTTCCTTATATTGTAAAGCGCTGCACAAACTGTTGGCGCCATATAAATCCTGTATAATAATAAAAGTACAACGTTAAATATATTGCAGCTGACTAGTCCTTAGATGTGGTGGCTGCATTAGTTTTCTATTTCAGGCTTTTTTTATTCTCCTTTTATGACTTGGTGATCCTGCCTGTAACACACTTCTTATTCTAGGGTAACAATGCTCACTCCTCCACTGTATGGAGGGAGCCGAGGTTGTCACCCTGGCCTGCTTTCCTGATTTGGACTATAAACACATCCTCCTCTCCATTACATAAGTGGGAGGGGGAATTTGTAATTTTGGAAGGAAGATTGTTGGTGATTTCAGTTCAATTCACAGGAAGTGACAAGGACACGGCATTTCTGGCAAGATCAACAGTTCTATTCTGTGCTTGCTGCAAATGTTCTTAGCCTGAATAGGAAAACTAATGCAGCCACAACATCCAAGGGCTGGTAAGCTGCAATGTACTAAATGTATGTTCTTGTGTTTATATATTGTTAATGTGGACGTGTTTTAAGGGACAGCTGTGTCTAGGGCTGCAACAACTAATCGACATAATCGATTATAATCGATTATTGAAAAAGTTGTCAACTTTTTCAATAATCGATTAATCGGCTTCCGATCAGTTGGCCCTGTTCACGGCTCCACACACGCTGCGCGCCGCACCTCCTCCCCACCTCGCGCTCGCCGCTGCCAGACCCGCCCGCCCGCATCCACGCTCTTCACGCCGCATTTGTTGTATCCCCCTATAGCTGGTGATATTCTGCACTACAAATCCCAGCAATAATACATTATACAGCGCAATGCAGAATACTGCCAGCTATAATGTACTATTGCTGGGATTTGTTGTAGTCCTCTATAGCTGGTGATATTCTGCATTGTGATGTATAATGTATTATTGCTGGGATTTGTTGTCCTCTATAGCCGGTGCCATTCTGCATTCATTGCTGTATAAATTTACACTTTCCTTTTCACTATATTGCACACCACACTATTTTTTTCCACCGCTCCAAGCTTGCTCCTGTGATGGACTACAATCTCAATACAAACTAGTAGTCCATCACTGGAGCCATTTTTAATTTTTTTTATTGTTTATCCGATTAACCGATTAATCGAACTTAATAATCGGCTAACTAATCAATTTTGAAAATAATCGTTAGCTGCAGCTCTAGCTGTGTCATTACCTAACCTGTGATTTTCCTCCTCCATCTGATTACTAGGCCGAAAGATCACAGTGACCTCTTTGAGTGGCTTTGCATGGAAACCCTGAAGTTGTGTTGTCCACCAGGCACCTTCGGCACAAACTGTACACGTGAGTAGTTGCCCACCTTAGTGGATTGTATCTAGAGGAGTGCAGATTTCCTGTAGCTGGTGGTGATCTTCCTTCTCTTGCTACAGCTTGCCCGGGGGGCACCGAGAAACCCTGCGGCGGTCACGGCAAATGCGATGGCTCGGGGACGAGATCCGGCGCAGGAACTTGCGACTGTTACCCTTCCTACGGTGGCCCGCTGTGTCAGGACTGCGCTATCAGTTATTTCGAGCAATCCCGAAACGAGAGCCACCTGGTATGTTCGGGTATGTAAAGGGAAGATAAAGCATGTTCGCACCCAGCTCTTACCTTTTTTTTATAATTAAAGTGTGTGGTGTGTGTGTGTGCATATATATTAGTGTGTAATGTATATTAAAAAAACTAAGAAGAAATATAGCAGAAGTAGGCAACCTTTGCACTCCAGCTGTTGTAGAACTACAAGTCCCTTGAGGCATTGCATGATTCTGACAGCATGACTCCCAGAGGCATAGTGGGTTTTCTAGTTTTACCACAGCTGCAGTGGTAAATACTGTATAGTTTATAATTCCTTTTCATCCAGCAGGGAGAGTGTTGCGCTCCCATTTTTTTTTTACACATATCTTTACCTACTACTGACAAAAGCTTGCTGTTTACAGATCTCTATAACTCAAGCTGAAATTTTACACACAAAGGTGAATGAGTCTGAAAAGTGGCTCCTCTATCAGATGGCGCAGTCCAAAGTTTCAGCAACAAACGACTTGCTTAACAAAGAAATGTGGCTCTTCATAGTACATTTGGTCAAAAGCTTTGTCTGTAAATTCCTCTGGGGCTAAAGAAGTTGGGCATATGTGTGTATTGTTCTTCACTGGAAATGCCATGCTGTGTGACTCTACCACTTTTATTCTTGTCTTGAACAGAGTGCTACAAGGCGTGCAGCAAGTGTCTGGGCCCGGGGGGAGATCAGTGCCTCTTGTGCAAGAAGGGCTGGATGCTGCATGAAATGAAATGCATTGGTAAGTACTAAGAATGGCAGGTATTCAAGCTCAAAGACCAAATTAACATGCCATTTAATCCCCCCCCCCCTTTAAAAATAAATACATTAAGTACAATTAAACCTTCAGGGTTTTTTTTTGCATATATCTACTGCTAGCAAGCAGTAGATAAGTGCAAAAACATTAAAAAAGATTCTTGAGCGGCCGTGCAGGATGATGGGGCGGGTGCATGCGCAGTACAGATCTTCGGCGGGGAGAAGAGGAGACACACAGTGGAGCTGAATGCACGCAGCCGGGAGCGCGCACGTCAGACAGACACCTGCCCTCAAGGAGCTTACAATCAAAATCCTTACCACGCATGCATGCATAATACAATTAGACAGGAACACGTTAACCTTCCAGCATGTCTTTGGAGTGTGGGAGGAAACCCATGTAAGCACAGGGAGAACATGCAAACTCCTTTCAGATGGTGAGGATGCAAAGCAAACTAAATGACTTGTAAAAGTTCATACTAAGTCCAGTAAAAGTTCATGTATCCTGAGGACATGTCAGATGATTTAGCCAATACATAGTCCATTATACCCCCACTCATTGCCAGCACTCAAGCCCTGATGAAGGGGGAATTGTGAGCCCCTGAAATATGTTGGCTATATCCTCTAACTTGTCATCAAAATAAACATTTATTGGACTGGTATAAACTTGTGGAGCTCTTGTCTTTTATATATTGTTTTGTGACCACTCCCAGGGCTCCCCGATTGACAGAGCGGCCTCAAAGAACTGGATGTGGAGCTAGTTTTTTACCTTTTATTGGGTCCAGCGCACCTTTTGTGTCTGGAAATGGGCATTTCAAACGTTTTTAACTTGATTCAAAGCCCTTCCTGCTGGCATCTGATGTTCATTGCATGCACTTTTACAGCTACAAACAAACTGACAATCTGTATCTTCTTTCTTCTTGACAGATGTTGATGAATGTGGCACTTTGGATCGCTGTAAATCAAACCAGTTTTGTGTGAATACAGAAGGGTCCTATGAATGTCGAGGTCAGTGATGTGTCAGATCCGGGGTTCTCCTTTTGGTATAGCAGAGAAGGCAGGCAGTGGTGGAGGCAGATGTGAGATCCTCGGCATGCAGCCTGTGGCCTCATCCCATAGAGTACATTCAGCGCTTTGTTATTTTTCCCTATGATAGGTTTTTTCTGGACTAAAATAGAAGTGGAGGGAGTAAAGACAGTTGAGGTGGTTGGTACATGTTAAAGAATAGCTCCAGGCAAACAAAACAAAAGAAAACTTACCCTTGCAGTGGGGCAACCCCACACTGCAAGGGTTAAGTGCTCATTTTGTCTAGTGGGCTCAAGTAAAGCTGCATTATTCCCCTGATCCTCAGTCCCATGGCATTCAGTGCTCACCTCTCCTCTGTTCCGCTCCGGCTATGGACTGTGTCACAGCGTGCTCATATCTAATGCAGGTCAATGGACCTGAAATAGATGTGATGACATCATTGGTCCTTTAGATTGCTGGAGCCCAGGGGAGAAGAGGCTGCAGGGACCAGTCTAGTAGCGCGGTGGAACTGTGGACCAGGTGAGTATATCTGCTTTATTTAAGCCCCCTAGACAAGATGAGCACTTAACCCCCATGCAGGGGGTGACCCCAATGTAAGAGTCAGGTGTTTTGGGGTTTTTTTTTGTAAAGTTCTCCTTTTTGACTTTTATCTAATTTTCTATCTCAAGGCAATTTATTTTGTGGTTGTGTTTTTTTTTGTTTTTGTTTTTTTGTATGACATTTTCCGTTTTATATTTGACCTGTACCTTTTTTAGTGATTCCCATCTGGGTAAACCACTTCTGAAAAGCAGTAGATCACACATCCACATGTCATCATCTAGATCAGGGGTAGCCAACCAGTGGTCCTCCAGCTGTGGTGAAACTACAAATCCCATGATGTATCTCTCTCCGGGAGTCATGTCTGTGGCTGTGAGAATGTTGCAATGCCTCATGGGATTTGTAGTTCCACCTCAGCTGGAGGACCACTGGTTGGCTACCCCTGATCTAGATGGTAGTGACAAATCCTGCCTTGACCTATTATAAAATATACAGTTAAGCTGGGAAGCTGGTTCTTTGTCCCACCCCCTTGTAGTCCCTGTTGCTCATTAAAGCCACCCCTCATATTCAAGAGGACCTTCACTTTAGAAGTTGTACCCAAAAAAGGCAAACAGAGGGCCAAGGACTAGTCATTTGTTTTGTCTATAGGCTCTGCTGCTGATTCGTTTTCCCCATGACTGAGCTATCCATGCCTTTTTCTGCCTCGGTGATGGGGCAGCCATCTTGATAGAGAAAGGGAATTGCTTCCTCATGTTAGAGCTGCTGCCCCTGATGAATGGTGGGAGAGGTGGAGGAGGCACAGATCCGCAGAATCAGGGGGGAGATCCTTGCACCACAGGTCCTCAGGTACAGCTTCCCCTTCCAGCAAGGTGACCAGTGAGCTGCACAGCAGTGACATCTCCAAATCTGGTGAGACTAGGCAGGGGCAGCAGTGACTTTGGATATATGAATATACAGGTGAAACTCGAATAATTAGAATATCGTGCAAAGTTCATTTATTTCACTAATGCAACTTAAAAGGTGAAACTAATATATGAGATAGGCTCATTACATGCAAAGCAAGATAATTCAAGCCGTGATTTGTCATAATTGTGATGATTATGGCTTACAGCTCATGAAAACCCCAAGAACCCCAAATCCACAACCTCAAAAAAGTAGATTATTACATGCAATCAATAAAACAAGGATTGTACATAGAACAATATCGGACCTCTGAAAAGTACAAGCATGCATATGTACTCGGTACTTGGTTTGGGCCCCTTTTGCAGCACTTACTGCAATTACTTTTGCACAATATTCTAATTATTCGAGTTTCACCTGTATACTGCTATGTAAGCCAGGCAGTGCTCTGCTACTTTATCAGGAAGAAAGTAAGACCAAAGGTCGATTCTTCAGGGTACTTACTGCTAATGCACAATTACCATTTCTAGATATTTTACATATAATACAGCAGAACTTCACTTTTTGAGTTCAGATTCACTTTGTTGGGAACAGTAATGACATTAGGGAGGGGGCAAAAGTGATCACTTTTTTTTTTTGTAGCTGAAGTTGGTATTTTTAATAATAGAGTGTCTCAGGTTTTCCTGTTTTGTGTGATTGCCTTACTTCCTTTCTCAGTAGTCTTCACAGAGCTTGAGGTCAAGTTACAGGAATTTTATTTTTGGGGAACAATATTTGTATTTTATTTTTCTAGCGTTCCTCTTGCTCAGGTGGTTAGATTCAAAGGAGATGCTCCCACTTAGCAGTTAGTTTATTAGGGCATTATAAGGGGTACGTTGGTATCTTCAGACCAGGAGCAGGTAAGAATCTGAAATGGAGCGTGCCAAAATGCTTGCAATCAACATAATCTAGGTAGTGGGGGATTATTTTTCTCAGTTTTTCACGTTGTTATATGTTACATTGCCTGTTTAATCTGCATTACTTGATCTTATAATTTTATTTTTTTTATGCCCCTACTTGTTTCTAATTTCTAGAGTGTGACAAAGCCTGCATTGGTTGCATGGGATCTGGTTCTGCTCGATGTAAGAAGTGTAACGCCGGGTACTACCGGGATGGGGCCCGATGTCTGGGTGAGTGCCAGGCCCCCTGCTGCATGGAGGGCAGTCTGCTCAGAGATGTCAGACATTTTTATTTGTATCTTGTCTTTCATTTTGTTTCCTTTCTCCAGCCTGGATTTAGTAAAGATGCTCAGTTTTTGAGTGACCGCGTTCTCATGACCATTTAATTCAGAGTGCAAAATATCTAACCTGCTTTCTGGATTATCACTATGAGAATAGTGTACTTTTACGGTGCGTTCAGATGGGTGTGCGTGCCATATAAAGACCCAATCCTAGAAGGGACAGGTGCTGCATGTAATTGTGCACTGCAGCCTTTTCTTCCCTATGAGAGGCCGAGGCAAACCCACTCCTGCACATCCAGTTCCGGGTGCCCGCACTTGGACGCAAGCTGTCGACATCCATGTGCAGGCACTCGAACCCACACAGATGTGCAGGTTCGGGTGTGTGTGTGACTGCATTTAATTGCTGCAGCCTCATCCTCCCCTAGGGAAGAACAGGCTGCTGTACACAATTGCATGTAGCACCTGTCCCTTCTGGGATCGGGTCTTTTTTATGGGCGTGCACGCCTTTCTGAATGAGCCTTTAAAGACCTGTCGCAAGATGACGTTGCAGCACTGATGATGAATGGAAAGCTTACCTGTCACTAGATGGTGCTGTATCACTGATATTAAATGAATCTCTTGTCACTAGATGGTGCTGCAGCACTCCTAATGATTCATGTACATTGTTGTCAGCCGTGCAGCACTCATCTGCAGTCATGCTTTTTATTGCAAAGCTTTGACTTATTGTTATTAATCATTTTATATATTGTCATCTCCCATAAGCTGTACAAAGTATGATGTAGATCTGCTTTGGGGTCCTCTAAATGATTGCTAAAACATTGCACAGTGTGCACCCTATTCGTTTTAACTTCACCTCCTCGTTATAAAGCCTTCTAAAAGGATCTGCAACTGATTTTATAATTACTGAAGCATGGCAGTTTTGGTTCAGTTTTTGGCACTGCGGCCTTGCATTTGCAGGGGGTGTCTGAATATAATTGCATGTCTTTGTCTGTTTGGGGTTTCTATGTTCTTACTGAGTTTGTGGGCTTCCTTTGGTGAGCCTATGAATCTGAAAGCCACCTGGTTAGTCGTTCCGATTCCTTTTATATGACTGTGCTAGGAACATCAGACCTTCAAAGGAACCAATCATTGGGGGAACAAGGCTGGGTGTATCGGCTGCACTGGATGACTTTTCTGTGTTAGGGACCACCATGTAGTATATGGCATTATAAAGATTACAGCTCTGGAGTGTAGACCATTAAAAACAAGTTGGGTCCTTTTTTAAGTTCCTGCAAGGGAAAGTAATTGATATGACCGTCTCTGTGTTCTCAGTAATACTGGAGAGAAGCAATACCTAGTTATGCTATTGTCAGCTACAGTCTTCTGCTGTCTTTATGTAGTCCATAAATTTGTTTTAATGTTCACCTTTCTCTTCCAGACGTCGATGAGTGCGACACCGAGCTACCCAAGTGCAAAGGCTCATATGAAGAGTGTGTGAACACGGAGGGCAGCTACAACTGTGTGTGCGAGAAGGGTTACTCCAGAGTAAATGGCATGTGCCGATCCACTGATCAAGGTAGGAGTGTCATACAGAAGAGCTTATGCACATTTCTATAGCTCGTGTAGCTTATTACCACGGGCCTTGCCTGGATGTTACTTTACATAGGATGACTATGTTGATGCAGTGCCCTTGATATGGCAATTGGTGTTGTTACACCGGTGCCTGCTTTTGCAGACTGTACAGTGGAGTGACATGCAGCTGCTGCAAGTCAGTATGCTGCATCTCCACCTAAAGTGCCAGGGAACCTCAGCCAACAGAAGATTTAGTTGCTGCTTTTGGGCTGAAAAATGAGTACGCGAGCAGAAAATATGCAATTGGACTTTAACCTAAGGCTAATCTAAGTACAGTAAACTCTGTTATCTGGTGTTCAACTAACCAGAACTCTCATCTAACCAGAAAAAAAAAATCCCCTTCGTACTCCGTTTTGCTGATCTGCGGCATGTATTATCCTGGAAATGATTGTGTTTATTTGTCTTAATTTTGCTTTTGATTACTGCATTTCAATATTAATATGAAGTCAGTACAGAGTTTATGGTATAGTATGGGGTATGGCATTAGTTAGACCTATTTTTAATAGTAATTCTCAAGTAGGGATGCACAGATACCGGTATTTCTGTTACGAGTACCAATATATATTTTTTGGTACTCACCAATACCGATACCGGAAGTCCCATTGAGCCGGGTGTCGCGTCATTACACGGCGCCCGGCTTCCTGATACAGGAAGTATCGGGCTAGGCATTTGGGCGAGTACAAGTACTCGATACCCATACTAGTATCTGTGCATCCCTACTCTCAAGCAAGCAGAAACTACATTTATTCCGGAGTCTACCAATCCCCGTGGATACCGGATAACTGGGAGTTTATTTTGTTCAATTTCTTTCATTGATACTTGTCAGGTCTGCCCAGATGATGAATGTCCCCGTCTCCTTTCCCCTGACACAGAAGCCCTGTAACCATGAGATAACGTGTACACAGAAGGCTTGTAACAAGCGGTCAGATCAGGTTCCTCTATTGTCATATATGTAGGTCGCCTCAGCATTGTTCAGTATTGATTATTTTCTCTGTTCCCATTTGTGTAGATGATTCTGAGAAAGGCTTTTTTGATGACATCACAGACGACGAGGTGGTGGTCCTGCAGCAGATGTTCTTCGGAGTTGTGATCTGTGCTCTAGCCACTCTGGCAGCCAAGGGAGACATGGTCTTTACCGCTATCTTCATCGGGGCAGTGGCCGCCATGGCCGGATACTGGTTCTCGGAAAGAAGCGACCGGGTCCTGGACGGGTTCCTGAAAGGCAGATAGCTTCTCAGCGATGGGGATACAGACGTGTGACGGAGGGAATATTGTGTACAGTGCTGTTCCTTTGCTTTACAAGTGGGCACCAAAGAGTTTGTATCAACCCTGCTGTGAAGCAGAGAATGCTTATCAAGTCTTTAAACCAGGCTGATCTTAGGATAAGCAGCAACCCAAATTAGGTCCTCCTTTTAGTTTAAAAGACTCCCCAAGTACAGATCGAAGCATCATCGTCCTGAAGTCCAGCAATTGGCGGATAAAAATCGGTTGTGAATATTCCAAAACCTGGGAAGTTTTACATTTTAAACAACTATGAACCTCTCGTATGGCCACCTTGGCTGCAAAGGCTTTGGGTAGGATTTACAAAGGAGCTTTACATGGAGCCTGGCAGCTTAGCACGGGAGTCGGGTGCTTCATTAATACACGATGAAGACCTGGCCAAGCTGTCCAGAAATTCATGATTTAGCACATTGTCTACCACAGACCGAGCTGAGCGACTCTTTGAAAAGGAATGGTCTGCGGGTTCTTGACAAAGGCCTGTGTGGCTTTTGTGGTTTTTCTCTACTGGGCAAAAGAGTCTATAAACTATACATTGGCTTATTTGTAGCCTGTGCTATGGGCAGCCCAGCAACGCTGCTATGGATAAAGATAATGGATTTGATTAACATTGACTGGAGTATGTTGGTGGCACACAGAATGGGAACTTGAAACTGTGACTCTGCTTGCAGCTATTGGACAGCTGACCTGAAGCTATCTGAGAAGCCACTTGACCTACCACTTTTAATAGAGAAGGGTATAAGCTATGCCTTTTGCAATCCGTGGCCTATTTTAATTCCCCTTTTCTTTTTTTCTTTTCTCTTTTGTAGTGTGCTGTGGGCTTCTGTTTTTTCACATAGGCTTAAAGTGTAGGTAAAACCAAAAACATTTCTGGCAGATTGAGATGGAGTGAGGAAGGCTTGGGACCCCTGTCTGCTTTTAGATGCTGTGTCCTCACTGGAAAGTTTGCTCTCTTCTGTGTCCTGGTGACCATTGTTTCCCACAGAAAGTGATGGGAAATCCAATAGTTCTTGAGCTGCAATAGAAACAGGAGGTGAGGGGATTCCTTCCTGGTGGGAACACACAAAAATAAAATTTGACGGGGTCATGTTAAAGCCCGATTGAATTTATTACTGTAATGCAGTTAGTCTTATAAATGGGTCTCTGTTTTTATCTGCAGCAAGGGTTACAAACTGCACATAGAAGACCAGGGAAGGCTAAATATAAGCAGTTTAAACTTCAGCTTTCAGAAGCCAGACCTGACTAAGGTTTTCCCTATAACTAAATATCACATTTTGGTTAGACTGACACTCTAAAATACATTATTTCAGTCATCGTATGCAGCTCAGAGGGTCAGGATTCAGAACGCATGCTCATGTCTACCGCTTTGTAGTGGCAGCTTCTTACTTTAGAAAGGCCCAGCATTTACATCCATCACTGAGAACCATAGAAGGCTCCATGTTGCCCGAGCTTGCTTCAAGTGTGTGTGTGCGCGCGCATAGATATTCTTAATGGCTTCATCTAAAACCAGATTTAAGACTGGAAAGCCAGGCCGTTTTATGGCACTTTTAATCCGTCCGCAGTTAGTTCAGTTTTCCTTTTAGAGGATGCTCGTGGTTTCAATTTATGTCCTTTATCCTTCCTTTATGCTGGTTGCTTTTACAGGAGAAGGATTGCAACAGAATTGAAAGACACATTTATTGAGGCTTATCTTTTCTTATTGTTGGTTATACTGTAACAAGGCAGAATCCAGAGCTTTAAACTTGCAGCATGTTCAAGTTTTAAAAACCACAATGACATAACACTAAGGGGCTGATGTATAAAGCTGGGCAAGGGCACATCACGTGGCATTACCACCACTAGATGGTGCTGAGTGTTATAGGAAATCTCTATGCTCCCCGGCCTCATCTAGTGAGCTATGATACTTATTGGATAAATACATTTTGATCTGGATACTAGGTGCCACACCCCTGTTGTTAATAGTATGCAAAAACGTTAAGGAAAGAAAAGTGGGGGTTTGGAAGCACCAACAAATGACAACTTCAAACAAAAAAAAATATATAAAAATGTATATTTTTATTAATTGGTATAAATCTTAAAATCGGGGGCTTAATGCCAATAGTAAAAACAGCTAATTGGGTAGATAGTCCCTAGAAGCTCTTTCCACATACGCAATACACTTTCCATTTACAGAACGGAACAATATTTGTTCTGTAAATGGAAAGTGTATTGCCTATGTGGAAAGAGCTTCTAGGGACTATCTACCCAATTGGCTGTTTTTACTATTGCCATTAAGCCCCCCATTTTAAGATTTATACCAATTAATAAATATACATTTTTATATTTTTTGTTTGAAGTTGTCATTTGTTGGTGCTTCCAAAACCCCACTTTTCTTTCCTTAAAGTTTTTGCGAGCTATGATACTTACCTCCTGATACCGGAACGTCCGGTCAGAGGGAGATCTCCCTATGACCAGCAGTGTCGGGGGAGCATGGAGCTAGCTTCCTTTCCAATGAGGAAGCCGGGCGGTGGGTTATAACCTGGCTTCCTGATTGGCTAGGAAGCCAGCTTTATGTGTTGCTCAGCAGCCTGGCTTCCTAACCAGGGGCTGCCATTAAGGGGCTGATGTATAAACTAGGGATGCACCCATACCGTTTTTCGGTATCGAGTACCATTTTTTTTTTTTGGTACTCGCCAATACAGAGTACCGGTGCCATGTGCCCTGATTATCAGAAAGCTGGGAGGCATGTAATGACCCACCTCCCGGCTTCTTGATTTGGTCAGGAAGCCAGGCTGCCTAGGAACAAGTGAAGGAAGCCGGACGGCACCTCATGACTTGCCTGATCAGAAAGCCAGGCTGCCTCTGAAGCCGGTGTTCTTTCGCTAGAACACAAGCTTCACAGGCAATCAGGAAGCCGGGTGACTGGTCATGGCCTGACTTCCTGATAATCAGGCACTGTTACTCAGTATTGGTGAGTACCGAAAAAAAAAATATCCGTACTCGATACAGAAAAAAACGGTATCGGTGCATCCCTAGTTTATACATCAGCCCCTAATGGACCTCCCATGTGCCTCTATTCCCTTATGTTTAGAAAAAAGGTTCAAATACATTTTTGGACACCTATGAGAGCAATATAAAAGGCTGCTATAACTGAGCTCTCTCCTGAAAATGCTTTTTGCTCGGCTTCAATACTGTGAACTCAGGGCTCCTGATGTGCATACCTGTTGGGTCAGTGGCGCAAAAAGTCATAGAATCGGCGTGAGAGCCAGGTATTTGTAGTAGAGTCCCGTGTGCACATACACTAAACAGATTTGCTCTCTAGAACACTGTGAAGTTCTAAGGGTTGAGGAGCCTGGAATAGTCTTTGAATGTTGCACTATGATTTGTTGTTCTGGTATATGCAAGAATTTTGTGTCTTATTTACTATGTAATTTTTCTGTATTAAGTGTGAACAATGGTAGTTTCCCCATACTGAAGCCTCCATCTGAGCCTATAATTAGAGACCCATTTACACAGTCTAGACATGACCATACTGTGACATTTATAATACACTGCTATGTGCTTAATATCTTCATCCAGGACCTGGAAGGAAAGGAAGCTGCATTCATTCTAATCAATGGGGCACATAAGCTTGCTACAAGAAGGAAACATGTCACATGATCTGTTCCGGGTCATGTGACTTTGCTTTTCTCCTTCCAGGAGTGTTCCTTTAAGCGTTATGCAGAGGGAAAAAAGGTGGGACATTGAGGTCTCCACACTGCCCTGCTTTTCATGTGGGGGTGGGGAAATAAAATATACATACATCCTGAGGAGTGTGGAGAGTGCAAACTGTGATTCTTTTAAAAATAGGCCCCTTAGGACTGCAAACAGCTTGCTGCATCTTTCATCAAAACTCCCTGTCCATAGTAAAAGAAGATGTCAGTGCCTCTGTTGTAAACTTTGAAGATGAATTGCTCCACAATGCCTATAACTACAGAGGTGAATGAGGTCTTGTGTTCAAGTGATTTTGCTGCTTGTTCCGAGTGTAAATACCGAATATGCATAGTCTGGGCACAAGTTCACTTTAAGTTGCTTACAAATAGAAGACGGGGACCAGATGTGCACATATGACCCGGCTACTGAAATGTTTCTGATGAAGGCGCTTTTTTATGAATGGGCCAGTTTGCATCATGGGTATCTGTGTGTTTGTTCCTATGGAGAAAGACCGAGGTGTCTAAAGTAGGGGGACGGTTATGATGGAAGCTAGGGATGCACAGATACTTTTCGAGTACCAGTGCCAATACTTGGCAATTTCATGAGAACTACCAGGGTTGCGGCGGTTGCAGCTGGGACCGGGCTCTGGCCCTCCACCACTGTCCTGAAATCATTTAGTCTGTATTGTTTTAGAAAAACTGTCACATGACAATAAACAAAAATGTATCAGTACTCGTACTTGTAAGTACTCGGCAAGTACCAGTACTCGTACTCGCAAAACTGGTATCTGTACATCACTTTATTTATATTTATAAAAACAAAATCATACATTAAAACAGAGATGTACAAATCCCTGGAGCTCCGTGTGCTCCTTACACATGACAGCTGCCTCCTAATTTTTGAATTTTTCTCTAGTGTAGTCTTGGAGCTCAAATGTATCGGCACTTGTACCGAGTACTGTACTTGGTATCTGTGCAACCCTAATGGAAGCCATAGTAAACGTTCAAGAAAAGCCCTCAGCCAATTCACTTCCATGCTCAGCCAGGGTGGTGGAGGAGCCTTGATCATGAGTGTGTTCTGATTCTGCTGTAAGACAAAAACTCAAGCAAACGTTACCTAATGTCCGCAGGCTCATGTGGGAATAGCCTTCACCCCCTCCCATAGTCCCTGATCCGATTCTGCTCAGCAATAGACTTGTTTTAAGAGCATTGCACCTTTAGACGCCTATGACAATTCATGCTCAATTTGCCTGCAGGCCTATGCTGTGCTACCACTAGCTAATCAACACATACCGCATCTTATAAAGACACCACTGGAGAACATTTCTTCCTCATTATAAAAATCCATTGCTTGCTATTGTATTCACATAAGCACCTTCCTATTGCACACCTCAAAGCCTTTTTTTGGGGTCTTAAGAAAATAAGGGTTTTAACTGGAGTTCTGATTTAGGGCTGATGTCAAAGGGGCTTTTGCTTGGCTCAGAACCTACCGTACTTCTGTTCCCATACAAGTCATTAAGAATGCAAAAGCAGGTTGCTGCAGCTTAGGAGGCCAAATGTTGATTATAGAGAGGGCAACGGCCAAAGTCAAAGGTACCTATTGAACTATGAATGACCTTAGACTGGTCTAAAGGTGCCCATACACTTTACAACCCTCGCAAGACTTTTGTCTTGCGAGGGTTCTAAAGTACTTTAAAAAACGTACGATCTGCCCATCTTGGACAGGCAGATCGTACTTGCGATCATCGCAAGGCCGCCCCCCTGAGGGGCAGGCTTGCGATGACTGCAATGAGGGGCGGGCTTACGATGACTGCAAACGGGCAGTGTGCGCGTGCGCACACCTGGGCGGTTCGGCAGTTGTCGAACCAGCAGGCCACTAACTCGCCGAGAATCGTACGATTCCCGGCGGGTTTTCTAGCATGCTGGTTCGACGGAAGACGTGCGACCGTACAGTAGAAACGGTCGCACCCCTTCCATACACTGCACGATTCTCGTATGATCGCGGGATTTCCCGCGATTCTTGTACGAGAATCGCGCAGTGTATGGGCACCTTTTAAACTGATCTTAAGTGCAATTGAAATGTATCTGAGATCAAGATGTATTAGCCCATCTACACAAGCCCAAAACCCTTCGACATAGGCCCCTAAAGGGAACCTGTGCTTTACCCGCACACGGCATGGCAATGGTTCACTTAGTCTGTCCCTACCCAGCATCACATACTTCCCTTTCATGAACACCCTTGGTGCTCCTTTCAGCCATTGGGTGCAAAGAGAAGCTCATGTAGGTTTTCAAGTCGTGACTTGGTCCTTACACGGAGCTGAGGAGACTTCTTCCTGCCCCCATGTATCAGCGCTAAGTGCCTAAATGTCCAGTCATCTATCACCTGCACTGTCACATGGGAGGAAGGGGTTCCCGGGAAGCACTGGATGTTTCTCTTCCTGCCAGACAGCTGGGTGGGGGTCAGCATTAAAGGGAACCTGTTGGTTTGCACTTTATATGGAAAGCACAGCTTCACCTAGAAGCATAGAGTAGAAATGATCACATACAGGTGAAACTCGAATAATTAGAATATCGTGCAAAGTTCATTTATTTCACTAATGCAACTTAAAAGGTGAAACTAATATATGAGAGAGACTCATTACATGCAAAGCAAGATAGTTCAAGCCGTGATTTGTCATAATTGTGATGATTATGGCTTACAGCTCATGAAAACCCCAAGAACCCCAAATCCACAACCTCAAAAAAGTAGATTATTACATGCAATCAATAAAACAAGGATTGTACATAGAACAATATCGGACCTCTGAAAAGTACAAGCATGCATATGTACTCAGTACTTGGTTTGGGCCCCTTTTGCAGAACTTACTGCAATTACTTTTGCAAGATATTCTAATTATTCGAGTTTCACCTGTTCATTTAGAAATTAAATACCGAGGAATGCTTCAGAAAAAAAAAAGTTGTGATTTATTATCTTGTGAAAACGATACTTGAACAAAAGGACAGAGTTTGAAGTCATGTTCTGGAGCCAAAAATCTAAATCTGAATTTAATGGGCTTTGGGAGGAAATCCCTCGCCGATCCTGTGGACTTGTCAGTAAAGGGCTCGGAAGACAAGGAACTTGTGCATGTTCTACGCTTGTTTTATTTGACTCGCTTACCTTCTAGAATTGTTTTGTCTCTATTTATTCATCTCAGGATAATAAACGTATTTAAGCCTTTTAAACATAAAGCGTGATTCGGTCATTTGTCTTGTTATTAAATCCGCAGTTTAAGTGTGAAGGTTTCTCGCCTCTTGTTCTGGTGACAACTGTAAAATTTCGGGATTTTCCATCACCTTTTGTCTCCATGATAATGGTCACCAAGACAAATAGAGTGAATCTACGCAGCAGCAAAAGCAATAAAACCAGATAAAGATCTTACACACTTTTAAAGGGCCGGAAAAACGAATATACAAGCTGGCTGACAAACAGCGTATGATAAGCAAACCTGTTTAATCGGAGGTTTACCTCAGAAAAAAACTGCACTTACAAACAATAGGTGGATCCAGAGACAGAAGCAATTTGTATGCAAATTTTGACTTCTGTAAAGGTTAAGCATGGCCGTGTCATGAATAATCTTTTTATTGTCGATACACACATATTTGATTTGTAATTAGATTGAATTAAGTTTGATGACAAAAATGACAGTTTGAAAACAATGACAGCCAGTCATGATTGGGAATGAATGTTCAATTTTGGATTATAATTGTTCTGGGGGGAAGAGGGTTGTTAGGGTTTTGCCCTGAGGTGGGCTTAAATACAAGAGTTCCTGCAATGAGCCCTCTACCATCCTCTGGCTCTTCTGCGGGAGACCTGTGCTCCCGGGGAACATTTAGGACAAGTGAGCAGAGGTCTGACCACTCAAGTGAGCTGCCATTTCTTAAAGGATAAGTGCACTTTAAAACAAAAGGCACTTTATCCTTTTTGCCCCTTCTCCTGGTCTAACCCAAAACCACCCTCCACAGATGCATACTTGCCTCAATCCAATGACTATGGTTTTGCTATCCATACTCGACAAGTCCTCACTGTGCTGGTTATGCCTGCACATTACAGCCCCATAGATCTTTTTATGTGAGCATATCCAATCCTCTTTGGCCTTGGAACACTGCCAAAGAGAACACATAGAGGTCTATGCGCATTAAAGGAGAACTATGAGGTGAGTGAATTCCACTCACCTCATAGTTCTAGCCGACCTGTGACAATGAAACTGTCACAGGTCGGCTCAGTAGATCGGGAGGTGAGCGAACACATACCGGGATCGCTCACCTCTCGATCCTGTCATGGCTCTCTGCCGTGACAGGGGGAGGGGCTGGATTCCCCTCTCCCCGCTCCGATCTGCCAGCGCTGACTGGCGGAACGGACGGGGGAGGGGGCGGGTACAGCTGGCTCTGCCTCTAGATAGGCAGAGCCAGCTGTCACTCACGCAGCTGGGCGGATCTCGACATCGATGTCGGGATCCGCTCCGGCTGCGGCGTCTCAGTATACCGCGAGCTGTAGCTTAGGGTAACGGGAGGACGCTAGTTTGTGTCCTCCCGTTACCCTAAGGAGAACTATGGGGAAAAACACTGACCCCATACTTCTCCTTTTAATGCATACACGTAACCAGGACAGTGAAGATGTAACCAAGCAGGGGAAGTGTGGCTATCAGATGGAGATAAGTATGCATCTGTGGAGGAGGGGAAGGTGCACTTATCCCTTTAATGTCCATTCAACAGGTTTGGGGGTGTCTTCTTAACCAATCTATGCTGCCACAGGAGTGGAGGTCAAGGACTTTTGTTTTAACCTCACGTCTCCATATACGCATTTCAACTGTATTTAGCTGCTTGGTAAAATGAGGTCTCGGGGGCTGAATAGTTTATTTCTCATTAACCCAAATACTCTTCCAAAATGGGTTTTTAGCAACATGGGATTCTTTTTAATATAGACAGCAAAAGTATTTTTTTCAAAGTCAATTCGTACTATGCTTGCTGCTGACCAGTTTGTATTATTTCAGCGTTCCACTCCAGTTAATTGGGTTAAATTGTTGAAGTTCTCTCTCCTTTAGTATCTCCAAAGATCGGGTCAGCCGGTTTTCTTGCCATCTGCTTTCCATTAACTGCAAATATTTAAGAAAAGCGTTTTATATCCAAAATTCTTCAGGCTGATTTATGAAATGGTTAGGATTTATTGCCTCCAATAATCCATTTTTATTCTAATACTATAAAATAATGAAGCCTAACCCCAGACTTTTGTCTCCCTCCCACTTCCTCCGATTGCCCCTGGAAGACCACCACATGTATATTATGCATTTTGGGTTTTTAAAGATTTTTCCTAATACCTTAAGACCACTTATGTCTGGGATCCTCTTCGGATCTTAGGGCCTGTTCACACCAGATACAGTGCGTTCCGGCAGTGGCGCCACACCCGCGTGACACCATTGGAGGAGTGACACCAAAATGACAGTGATTTTGGTGTCACCTCCTCTAAAAAGTCGGGCACTCGGTGATGGACCGAGAGCCCGACAGTGTCAGGAGAGAGAAGGGGACCGGCGACACCTCATCCCGCCGGGTGAACGTCCCCTCCTCTCTGCCGGTGTACACTAAGATGGCCGCCGGCAGGTGTCAATTAGATGGCTGTGCATGCGCGATGATGTCACGCACATGTGCGATGACATCACGGCTGGGTGTTACCTGGTTTCCACTCTGGGTGACACCCGGCCTCACGATGCCCCTGCGTTCTGGCCAGAACGCACTGGCTTGCATTGTGCCGGCTCACTTTTTTGTGGGGCAGGAGGGGGCGTGGTGGGCCATTGAGGTGAATGGCACCGTGGCCACATCCTCCAGCCGCAACGCGATCGGCGCATGTGATCGCAAGGCACATTATGCCTGCGGTCCGGTGCGATCAAAATGCTGCTATTTTGATCGCACTAGACCGGACTGCAGGCATAATGTGCCTTGCGATCTTGTGCAGCCAATCACATTGCGGCTGGAGGTCGTGGCTACGGTGCCATTCACTTCAATAGCCCGCCACGCCCCCTCCTGCCCCACCAAAAAGTGAGCCGGCCGCAATGCAAGGCAGTGCATTTTGGCCAGAATCGGGACGGAATGCACTGCATCTGGTGTGAATGGGCCCTTAGGTGGCCATCAATGATGCAAAGAATGGTGATGATGTCAGAACCGCTCTCTGCATCTCGACAATGAAATTGCTGGATGCCAAGGTGTTGCCCAGGAAACAGCGTGTCCTCAGACTCTGGGTTGCATTACACTGGGTGTCATTCAACCTAGAAGAAAAAGACTGAGGCCATCCCATGGAAAGGAAGTACAGCAGAGGACAGCTCAGGTTTAAAGGTTAGTATTGCAGCAAAAGCGGCATTTTTGCTCTTATTACCTCCTGGGGGCCCCAATAAAAAAATACATTTGTCTGGAGTTGGGCTTAAAGCAGTGAAACAGCGATGAGTATTGACTCACCCGTTTATTCTCATCCCTGTATCTTGTCAGGAATAAGGCTTTTGTTCGTTCCTGCTCCAGGTCCTGAACAATGGCTAGCCGGTCAGCTTCTTTCAGAGCCTCCAGTTCCTTGCTTTGGCTGGTCAGTGCCTCCCTGTCTATAGCCCACTTGTCACTCATCTGCTTCTTCAGCAGTTGTCGGATCTCCTTTCTGTAAAATACATTACCAAGGAAACGGTAACCAAGGCGGCATCATTTTTGCGGGTTTAACGTGCTTCTTTTTTCAAGTTAATGCGCGTTTGGCACATTTTTGGTTAGTGGAGAAGGACCCCTTATTTTGGTGGTCATTGGGGGGAAATGATCCATATCACTAGTGGTCAGTGGAGAAGGACCCCTTATATTGGTGGTCATGGGGGGAAATTATCCATATTACTAGTGGTCAGTGGAGAAGGACCCCTTATATTGGTGGTCATGGAGGGAAATGATCCATATCACTAGTGGTCAGTGGGTTGATTGCCCCCTTACAGATGGCTAAAAAGATCATAGGTGTCACTGGTTGGTTAATTATCTGAGAGCCAGACACTGCTCAAGGAACCTTTAATAACCTCTGAAGGAACCCCGGGGGTTCCATAAAACCCTGGTTGACAAAGGCCAATCTAGCCAATAGGAATAGAAATAAAGTAAATGAGTAAGTAAGCTGTGCTGGACTAGGAAGGCAGCACCTGAAGATAATTTCTGAGGTTAGATTATATGCTTGTATGAAGGGATATGCTTTATAGCAAAGCTTACCAAGAGCAGACACCATGAGATGTCTACTAATACCTCGATAGGACACTGCGATGTCTGCTGTTAAGCAGAATAAGACTTTCTTGGGGCTCCAACAGCATATTGGGGGAGAGCAGGGAACATAAACAGTTTATTCTAGTGTAGCACACCTGTTACCTGATGAAGGCACCCAACACCACTTTAAATGAGCCATTTTGTATTTTTCCAGGGTTGGAGAATGCCAAATCCAAATCAAAAGGGTATAGCAGAAATGAGGAGACGCTCAAGAGAAGTCTTGTTAGGAAATTCTAAATATTACTTGCCTGTAGTCCTCCTTTTCTGTCACTGTGCCATAAAATGGCCGCCTCCAGCCCTGGTGGAACCTAGGAACATCGAAAAATTGTTATACAATTTATTTAAAGCAGAACTCCAGCCTTACCATTTTCTATCTACTTCTGTCTTTGGATGCACGCCCTTGGATGCAGACAGTCTATGTCCAAGGGTGTGCATCTGTACCTGTATGGAAGAAGAACGGGCAAAGATGTCGGCACTGGTGAGGAAGCTCATAGAGGTGACATTGCTGGAGGAGAGGTGAGTATAGTTCTTCTTTAAGGTACAAAACATCAGATAAATGTTGAAATAAGAGCAACAGGCTGCACGGGTGGGAGAGAGGCCAGTATAAAAACACAGACAATTGCATTGGTTTCTGTAACTGTTGGGGTTCAGGTTTTGGGGCTAAGTATAAGGCCGGCCACACAAATTAAACTTTCAGGCAATTTCAAACACGTTCAGGCAGCTTTTGAGTGCAAAAGGCCAACTGCATGAATGCAAACGCCGACTACTGATTAAATGACCACCAATGTTGGTGGTTAGCTGCATTGATCTTTTTTTGTGCTTTGCATTGCCAGGAAGTGATACCTTCACCCAGTCTGAGACTCATTTTTATGTTTACGGTGCCGGTCAGAAAATGAACAGGAGTGTCTGATGGGTTGCCATGGGCAACACAGGCCTGGTCCTAGATGAGGCCTAGTTGGAGTTTTCCCAGTTAAGTGTTTACATTATTATGGTGATTTCCTGTCAGCTACTCACCGGCTATACTCTCTTTGCTGCATGTTGATGACCCTCTGGTGGTTGTGTTGGTGGGCAGGCACTGTCTCCAGGCTTACCGTCCTCCTCTTCACACCCGGGGGATGGAGGGGGTTGATACGAGTAGGGAACTGCAGCAAAGCAAACATGTCCGGGCGGCAGGGTAAAAGTTTGTCATGCACAAACAAATACAATATCGCTTTCTATCCCCTTAAGCAACAACTGAGGTCTGAATTAATGAATAAAATTACAGGGGATCTGAGAGAGCACGTGGTGTGCCTTCCTTTACAAAACCCATAGTGCCCTGGGAATCCTCATTCATGTGTGCACCCAAAGGCACATATATACCTTATAAAAAATCTGAACTAACAGCCCAACTCCAACAAAGTGCAAAGTCACATGCCCTGATTCTACCGCAGGGCCCCTTAAATACTAAATTTACTCAAAAAAGTTGCAATCGTGATCTTTTACATGCCATCAGGATCCTTTAGTTGGTGGGGCTGTGAGCGAGGATAAGCAGCACCCACTTGTTGCACGCTAGTGACAGATGTCGCTGCTCAGGTACTACATGTCCTAACAGGCAATGCTCTTCCTATGTGGTTCCATTATCCAAAAGGTGAGATATGTTTATTGTAATGCCGGCATCATGATGTCACATACAGGCGGTGTGTGTTCATGAAAGCCGAGCTGTGTTGAAAAGAGCTGGGTGATGCTGGGCATCATCCAGCCCAGAAGGTCAGTGATGGGCACTCAATTAATCATTGACATGCATCGAGAAGGTGACAATGCAAGACACGAGCTGGAATTTCAGATCTCATGTTGATGAAAATTTGTGCAGTGTGGAATTTAAATTTGCACTGCTTCTCTTCCCATTACAAGTACATGGTAACGCAAAAGCAGGTTGATGCAGCTTAGAAGCAGGTTAGATCAAATGAAAGTCAGAAGGAAGTCAACTGCAGGTCAAATGTCAATATTGGCCTATGAATGGTCTCAGAAGTGTCTCAAACTGATGTCAAATGCATGCTGAATGCACCTGAAATCTTGCTGCATTTTCCCATTGACCCATGCCCTTAGAGTCCTAGAAATTCTGAAACTGAAGTTGGGCTTCAAGGCCGACCCAAAACCAATATAGTTTCCTGGTAAAAATGTTTCCTATCTGCAGTGCCATTCATGCACATGGGTACAGCGCACAATATAACAATAATGGCATCATACTTACTACCATGCTGGTGGTTTGCGATAGTGGCACAGCGGGTAGGCACAAGGGGGTGATAGAACATCTTCTTTTAGGAGTGCTGTAGTTTCCCCAGGTGACGATTGGCGTGCTTGGCAATGACACCCCTTCCGGAGAGAAGAATCTTGGTAAGCCATATGATAAGACTTTGATATATGAAGTCCTACTATCTGCCTATGTTCTTATGTACTGGATACCAATGAGATTTCAGCTGTCACCTTTCTAAATCAGGTTAGAATATAAAAATCTATTTCATGAATGCAACACAATCTCAAGTTCTGAGGCTGATAACATTCAGGCATGTCTGCTAGAAATTAGGCTTACGTTGTATTTAAACCCAACAAAATCCATGTATTGAAGCTAACCAGTTCTTAGGTGTGGTGACTGCATTGATTTTCCTATTTTCACCTGGTGATCTTGTCACAAAAACTTCCTTTCCTAGGGTAACAATTAGGGATGCACCGATACTAATATCGGTATCGGTGCCAATGCCGAGTATTTGGGCGAATACTCGTACTTTCCCAAATGCTCCGATGCCTGGCCCGATACGTGAGCTTCCGGTATTAGGCAGCCGGGCAGAGAGTCATTACATGCTGCCCAGCTTCCTGATTGGCCGGGAAGCCGGCTCCATGCTCCCTCGTCACTTGTGACGAAGGAGCGTGGTACCGGCTTCGCGGCCAATGAGGAAGCCGGGCAGCGTGACAATCTGGCCCCCCGACTTTCTGATTGGCCAGAAAGCATGTTGCTGGCTTCCCGGCCAATCAGGAAGCCAGGCGCCGTGTAATGACCCGTTGCTCGACTTCCTAATTGGCCAGCTTCTCGACCAATCAGGAAACGGGCAACACTTCATTACACAGTGCCGGGCTCCCTGATTGGCCAGAAAGCCTGGTGGCGAGGGAGCATGGAGACAGCTTCCCTGCTAATCGGGAAGCCGGGTGGCGAGTCTTTACATGCCGCCCGGCTAATCAGGAAGCCAGGTGGCGAGCATTACACGCCGCCTGAATTCCTTAATGGGACTTTCGGTATTTGGTATCAGTGAGTACCGGAAAAAAAATATCAGTACTCGATACTGGAAAAACGGTATCAGTGCATCCCTAGTAACAATGCTTACTCACTATACTGAATCTATGGAGGGGGTGTTCTGTAGTTCACAGAGGAGAACAAAGCATGGCTATTAACACTGCTTGGGATTTCAGTCCAGCACAAGCAGAGTGTACAGGAAGTTATCGGCTCACTGTATTTTTGGCAGGATCAACTGGTATTTTTTTTGGACTTATTGAATCTTTACAACAAAACTTACAATGGCATATTTGACAGACCAAAAGGGAGCAATAATATAAGTTTATTTTTAGGATTACTATACACTCAAAGCCAGCCTTTCCAACCAGGGTTCCGTGAAACTCTAGGGTTCCTTCCAAGGTTCCTACACTCCCTACTGACCATCAATGTAAGGAGCATTCTTCCCACTGACCTCCAATGTAAGGAGCATTCTTCCCACTGACCTCCAATGTAAGGAGCATTCTTCCCACTGACCTCCAATGTAAGGAGCATTCTTCCCTCTGACCCCCAATGTAAGGGACATTCTTCCCACTGACCACCAATGTAAGGAGCATTCTTCCCCACTGACCACCAATGTAAGGAGCATTCTTCCCACTGACCACCAATATAGGGGTCATTCTTTCCACTGACAATCAATGTAAAAGGCATTCTTCCTTTGAACCACCAACGTGAGGAGCATTCGTCCCACTGACCACCAATGTAAGGAGCATTCTTCCTACTGACTACCAAGCTAATGAGCTGTAGATATAGTAATTATTAGCAGGGGTTCCCCAAGATCTGAGAGTTCTTTCCAGGATTCCTCTGTGTTGAAAGGCTGCTTTAGGCTGACCACAGAAGCTACAGTCTGATTGTACAATCTTTTTACAATCACCTTCGCATTTGCAAACAAAGTAGTGAGAGGGCCAACCTAAACAATTCAATTGAAATCTTTCCGGGCAGGCCCTCACGCTACACAATTGTTGGTAGATAATAAAATGATTTGTGTAATTAGATTGGAATTTGTGGGAAAAGCTTTAACACTTTTCCACCACATATGATGACTATGTATAGATATGGCCCTTTGCATATTGAATGGACTGCCACCCAATTTAATAAAGCAATTCAAAATGCAATGAATGTGCAAAGAGCAGTAACCCACAGCAACCAGATTTATTGCAGTCCATTGAGGTGAGAGATGCAATCTGATTGGCTGCTATCAGCTACTACAGTACGCACATTATCACTGTATTTGGCTCTGCATTATCATATACTCCTTAGTGAACAATGGAAAGAATTCAGAACGTGTCTACTTACTCAGGCTCATTCTTTGGCCTTGCCGGGGGTCAGCTGACCTGCAATGAGAGATGATGCTTCTGTTAATATTAAGCCCTCTCCTGATCATGTTCATGTTTAAAAAACAAAGCGAACTTTTCTCATCCACCCCACACCTAACCCTCAATACTTTATCATTTTCTTCTTCTTTCCTACATTTCCTCTTAATGTAACTGCTCTGGCATTATGTCATTCTCTGGATCTTCCATGTAAGGGCAATGGGGCAAAAGGTTCCTAATGCCCACTCATGACCAGCCAAAGTATCGATATTATATGACTGTGGAGACCCACAGAATAGGCCAATCTGTGTGAAAATCTAAACTGCCACAGTGTGCCACATATTTATACTGTTAGTAGGCAATGTAGTCACATTGTTTTCCTACATATGGAACAGGGGCGTAACTAGAAATCACAGGGCCCCATAGCAAAATTTTGCATGGGGCCCTGGGATTTCTAGTTATGCCCACCTGAGATCCCAAACAACCCCCCTCAGAATGACCCTGCAGAGCCCACCATAGAATCTCTATGGTGGGCTCTGCAGGGTCTCAGGTGGGCTGATCAAATCCCTGCCAGCCCTAATCGGTCTCCACCTCCTCCTCCTCCGTCACTGGGCCCAGCCTCCTCCATCGCCGGGCCCCGCCTCCCCCCACGCTGCCGACACTGGGCCCAGCCTCCTCCTCCACAGCTGCTGGCTGTCACTGACTCGGCAGCAGCTGTGAGGAGGAACGTGGCGCTGCACAGATCACTGACAGGTTGTCAGTGATGTGAACAGCGGCGTATTCCTCCTCACAGCTGCCAGTGACAGCCAGCAGCCTGAGATGCCATAGCGCCCCAGACGGCCCGCACAGCATCAGGGGGAATGTCCTGGCGGGGCCCCCTGTGCCCCGGGCCTCATAGCGGCCACCTGGGTCGCTATGGTGATTGTTCCGCCACTGATAGGCAATGTTAGATTTCCTTGGAAAACTCAATAAAAAATATTGAAAAGAAAACCCAAGCAAAGAAATTTCAGGAAAATGGACAATCACCTTCCCAAAAAATGATGTATAAGCTATAGGTGGAGCCTGGTGGGCTGAGGCCTCCCCTGGTTTCCTATATTTCTTGGATACACCAATGGCGAGATCTTCCTGCTGTAATTGCTAACTCTGTTCCTGTCCACCTTGAAGATTTGATTGTTTGCACCCATTGTTGTTGTTGCACCCACCTTTGTGTGTTACCGTTCCTCCTGCTACAATCTCCATAGTATCTCCATAGTATCAAATAAATAAATTCAACCAGAAGAGTGGGAGCGTCTTATAAAAGAGACCTGGAACTGAGCTCTCCAACATCCACCAAACACTCAAATATCAGTTTTGGGTAAAATGACCTTGTGAAGAGCTTCTAATAACCTCCCCAACCACGCTGAACCTCCAAACCTGTACTGAGGCATTTATTAATATTGATTTAAAAATGTTATTACTAAAGCTCTCCATACACTGATTAGATATTTGAAAGAACTTTCGTACAAAATAACTTTCATTCGACTTTCTATTAGTTAATGGGGTCAAGTTGATGATCAATTTTGACCGCAGTGACAAAAAAAGTTGGAGGAGCAGGATGGAATTTTTTTCTTGAACAAGCAAAGTTCTAATGTGGTTTTCGTTCCGGAAACTCCAATCATTCCGAAATCAAAGGTTAAAAATGAAACGAAATTTCGATCATTTGTCAATTGGCATTATCGGGTGGGAAGGAAAGATCTTTGTTACGAAAGTTCGTTCAGAAAACTACTTGTGTGCCGGATGTGTCCGAATTTCTGAGAATTCGTCCGAATTTTGATTTGGAACGAAACCAATCGCACATGTCTGTGCTGCAGTGGGCGCCATGCCCACTGCAGCACAGACATGTGCGATTGGTTTCGTTCCAAATCAAAATTCGGACGAATTCTCAGAAATTCGGACACATCCGAATGTCCAAATCCCGATGCATCCGAATGCGTCCAAATCCGAATTTCCGTTTCTGAATTTTGGATCCTGTCGGAATTTCATGTAAAAACGAAACTGAATCGGACATGTGACACTTCTGGCCAATCAGATGTATTTTTCGGTTTAATGCATCCGAATAGGTCTGAACACAAATTTTCGTTGGCTCCCATGGCAACATGGGAGCCATATACAGTATATACATATAATACTGGCTCCTAGACCAGAATGGCATTCGGGATATTTCAGAGTTGCATTCAGGAGCTCCTGAATGCCATTCGTGTCTGGAAGCGATATACATATATTACTAAACCCGAGACTCCCAGACCCGAATGGCACTCGGGAGCTCCCAAATGCAATTCGGAAATTGGCATTCGGGTCTAGGAGATTCTGCTTTAGTATTAATATCTGTATAGGGTTTTCTGTGGTATCTGCAACGAATATTCGTAAACTCATCCGAAACTAACAAAAATTTGGATTTCGTCCGAATCCAAAACCCGAACCGAATTGAATTTCGGATCCGAATCACGATATATACGAATCGAACCGAATATTTCCGCAGCTTACATGTCTACTGCAGCACACCAGCATTTTGAAGCACATTTCGATGTGACGTGAATGGGCCCTAATTGAAACACTGTTATACTTTGTGCCCCCTCTTCCCCCTCTCTGCAGAACATCTCGCCAAACTTTTCTCTGTCTCTGCTGCAGTGAAAGTTCCAAGTGCGCTCACCTTCTGTCCCAGCCCAGGTAATTCTCACTCTGATAGCTGGCGAGAAGTGTTGTCGAACATGAAAGTGCAGCTGAGATCCTCTTAGCAGATTAAAAGCGTTCAATGTATAACTCCTCTGGTGTAACTCAATCTGTCTCCTTTCTCTTCTCTCTCCGCTCTCCTCTGCACTGTTTGCATCACGTGACCTTCTGCTTCTATTGGAAACCGAAATCCTTTGGACAATAGGCCCGCCAAGTGGCAGGGCTGGTCTGAGGACTCCCACAGAGGGGACTGCAGTGCCAGGGCTCGCTGCAATCCATTGTACAGGTCGCAGGCGGGGAGAGAACGCAAACCTGTGATTATCATAACTACAAGCTTGGAGAGTTTATGACATTCACCGGCTTCCATCCTCATGGCTTCTGCTAGCAGTAAAACCTGTAATTTGGCAGGGAAGTGGTTAATTCGGCTCTTGGCTGCAAAAGGTATCAGCAGGTAGTCAAAATGTAACAAGGGGTCTGACATCATAAAGTATATTGGAAGACAAGGCTTTTTGTTTTTGTTTTTGTTTTGGATACAGAAATTAAAGCTGAACACCACACACAAAAACTTCTCATTGAGATATTGTGCTGGGGAGAAGGTTAAGCAGTGGGCAACTATATTATACTGGGGAGAAGGTTAAGCAGTGGGCAACTATATTGTACTGGGGAGAAGGTTAAGCAGTGTGCAACTATATTGTACTGGGGAGAAGGTTAAGCAGTGGGCAACTATATTGTACTGGGGAGAAGGTTAAGCAGTGGGCAACTATATTGTCCTGGGGAGAAGGTTAAGCAGTAGGCAACTATATTGTGCTGGGGAGAAGGTTAAGCAGTGGGCACTATATTGTGCTGGGGAGGAGGTTAAGCAGTGGGCACTATATTGTGCTGGGGAGAAGGTTAAGCAGTGGGCAACTATATTGTACAGGGGAGAAGGTTAAGCAGTGGGCAACTATATTGTGCTGGGAACAGCAGATAACTCTCTATACTTGTGGGCTGTGCTTGTGATCAGCTGTGGGGGATGACAGCTGCTATTGGGTTATGCTGCACCTCCAGCCCGTAGAGGATCATAGAAAGCCCCACGGAGTATTCGCAGGTGAGATTGGGGCCTATGGGAAATCTTTTCTGATTAGTCACCCGAACAGATATTGCCATCTGAAGATTTCCCGTCTTTTCCTGTTCCAGTGACAACTCTGAATTTTTTGGTCCTAGTAGCGACAACGGTAAAAAAATAAATAGTCCTCCGCGGTTCCCCCGGGGCTGTGTAATGGTATCGGGGTATTTATACAGTAACTGGTGTTTAGTGACCCGAGCCCACGAATTGTCCAATTGTAACCGGTTGACATTGTTATATAAGGATACAGTATACAGTGTAATGTTGCTGGGCTGTTGAGTGACGTCAGTGCTGAGCTCCCTATAGTTCTGCTCCTCATTGTTTCCACAGAAAGCAGCAAGACTGGGGCTGCAACTTCCACTTTGTATTCATGCCGTGTGTTGTATTGGACGGTGTGTTTCCCTGGTAATCAGTTCTTCCTTTTCACAGAACGGATTACCATGTATGAAACTCCCGGCAGATCATGTTTTAAATTTGTTTCAAATGCAACCAGAATAAATACCCGGGTCACGTGATCTAATTCTTCTCTAATCCCATGTGCAGCAGAACTCAGACTGGGAGAGGAAGGGGTTAGTATTTGGGGACAATCAGATGTCCTGCATTCATATGTGCTCACAAGGAACATGCTGACAAAAGGAGAGAGCAGAGAGATGAACTCATCAGTTTTTCGCTGCTCCTTAACTGTTTGGTTACAGGCTGGGGGGCGGGGAGGTGACCTAGACAGTGGCGTCACGAGAGGGGAGCAGGGGTGCGGCCCGTACCCGGGTGACACCATTGGAGGTGTGACACCAAACTGACTGACAGTCAGTTTGGTGTCACCCCCTCGAAAAAGTCGGGCACTCGGTCATGGACTGAGAGCCTGACAGTGTCAGGAGAGAGGAGGGGACCCGGCGGCGTACCTCATCCCGCCGGGTGAACGGCCCCTCCTCTCTCTGCTGGCGCTCATCACCAAGATGGCCGCCGGCAGGCGTCAATTTGTTGGCCAGGCATGTGCGATGATGTCATTGCACACGAGCGTGGTGACGTCACGCAAATGTGTGCTGATGTTGCTGAGGTGAGGGGGTGTCACCCGGTCTCCGCTCCCATGTCTGTATTCAGCTGTTTGCCTAGAGTTCATTTTTTTACAGGGTCTTTAATAGTCAAGGCAAAAAAATATCTGACATGATAGAAAAGCGGGGCCATGATTATATTTACCAATCTGATTTATAAATCTTCCACTCAGTGTATAGCTGGGCAGTGTATGGCACTTCCATCACTGGATGGAGCTGAGGAGCATCACTACTACCACTAGATGGAGCTGAGGAGCATCACTACCACCAGTAGATGGAGCTGAGGAGCATCACTACCACCACTAGATGGAGCTGAGGAGCATTACTACAAAATTCCTCTGCTTCTCAGCACCGTCTAGTGCAGCTATATGCGGGGCTGAGCATCACTGCTACCACTAGATGGAGCTGAGGAGCATCACTACCACCACTAGATGGAGCTGAGGAGCATCACTACCACCACTAGATGGAGCTGAGGAGCATCACTACCACCACTAGATGGAGCTGAGGAGCATCACTACCACCACTAGATGGAGCTGATGAGCATCACTACCACCACTGGATGGAGCTGAGGAGCATCACTGCCACCACTAGATGGAGCTGAGGAGCATCACTACCACCACTAGATGGAGCTGAGGCATGTCACTGCCACCACTAGATGGAGCTGAGGAGTGTCACTACCACCAGTAGATGGAGCTGAGGAGCATCACTACCACCACTAGATGGTGCTGAGGAGCATAGGAATTTCCTCTGCTCCATGTAGTGGCGGTAGTAGTACTGTGCGAATGGCATTGGCCCTGCTATATGCTGGGCAGATTTATACACTAGTACTATAGTTATCTCTAGAGATGTACGAATACTGAAAGTGTTACATTGTCAGTAAATTGCTGATTTTTGTATTGTGAAATATTTCAAGTCGGCTTTTCTTTTCTTTTAGTATTCTTTTCATTAGATCTGATGCCGAGGAGAGTGACGGTCCGGGTGGTCAGGCGGATGGTGGTCCAGGCTCTTGGGGGGTATATTTCTGTGGCCCGGCAGTGACCCGGCTCTCTGGGCAGGCTGGGGCCTGTCATATCTGCAGACTTTTACTTTGTTGACTTCTCCATTCAAGTCGCTGTGACCTCCCGTGTTTGATCAGAGTGCTACTTCAAACAACATGCGTCCTTTCAATGGGAGCCGTCTGAGCGACGCGACTTCCCCGTCTGGTCGGTGTGACCCGGCAGTCTGTTTGCTAAAAGCTTAGTACAAATGAAAGGGAACCGTTGAGAGCCGCGGAGCGCTGGAGAACATTTACTCAGCTTCATTTATCAAAGTCCGAAGCTTAATCTGCTTTTATTTTGCTTTCTATGGCCGCTCTGTTCCCCTTTATCAACAAAGTAAAAAATACCTCTCCATTTTCATTACTTAGCTTACTTAGACCCGGTGATGTCATCGCTGGGTCCCTGTGCTTGTTTATGCAAGGCAGGCAGATCATGGCTGGTGGGAGGGGCCAGCAGAGTGCTGTGCATAGCTTCCTAAAAACATCACAGCACCTTGCCTCAGTACTGCTCTCAAGAACCCTCAGCCCAGATGCAAGCAGTGGGCTGGCTCTTGGGAGGAGTTATGCAAATAAGAAAATGCCTTGATGGCTAAGTGCCAGTCAAACAAAGGGCGATCCTAGGCAGGCAGAGCGCACCTACATGTGATGCTGAGCCTCCATGATTGAAAGAACTGAAATCTAATGAATAAAAAGGGGCGGGACAGTCAGACTGGGGAGGAAAGGGCTAGATAATGCAACAAAACACCCAGGTATAATGTTGGTCTTATGTTGAACGTTGACGCGTTTATGAAAACATGCAAAAAAACACCCAGTTGTGGGGGCTTATGATGAACATTAGTAAAGATAAAGACACCGGCACTCCATAAGCAAACGTCTATTTATTGACGTGCCGCATAATAAATAGCAACAAACGTTTCGGGGTCACAGAGGATCCCCTTCCTCAGGCAAAAGCATGATTTTTTATGATGAACATTGACGCATTTCGGGAAACACACAACAAGGCGCCCAGATGTAATGAGGTCTTACGTTCAGAAAACATGTGAATGGCGGCCAAGTCGCAGCGCACTGCATTATGGTGTAATGGTCCCTCGGTTGTCGTAATTTTTATTCTGCTCAGTGACTTGCCAAACACTGAAGACGGAGGATCAGCATGACTGCTAGGAAAGCAACAACATCTGAAGACAGCCAACATCAGATATTCTTCACACGACAGGTTCTCTTTGATCTGTCCACGATAAGGGCTCGACTAATATTTACTGACATGCGTCCGCTCCCCTAAGCTAAGCCGGCGTGAGCGGATTAATTGCACTCAAACTGGGGCTTGTGATAGAGAAGATTTACTTGTGAAAGAAAACTTGGAGCCACATGAAGCAAACCGCGTCAGATGCGAAACCGCCGTCTTTTCCGACGTATTACCAACACGCGTCTTTCCACAGGAAGAGATGGCCCGGCGCCCACCTTCCCCCTGCTCCTGTTCAATCATCCATTGTTCATCCGGCATCACCTGACTCCCCATGAATTGTGTGTGTGTGACATTTCATACGAGCTCTTGTTGTCACCTTGCCAAGACCATCTGCTTCTTTTGGTCTCGCTCTCTGATTGTACTTCATAGTCTCGGCACACTATCGCCCCTGACCTGATGGAGATCAATCGCGGGACACGTTGTGAGGTCAGCGTGTTCACGTGCGTTAGTGCGTACACTAACAAAAATAGGTTCTGGACTGAATCATTTTTAATGGGGGGAGGGGGGATCCCCGGTATCCTTTGCACTGGGAGATATACAACAGAATGGGGGTGAAGGTTTTCAGGTTATAATCTGACGGTACAATCTCATTTAGATCTACCAACAATAGACGTGAGTTCCAGGTCGTTCTGAATTGAAATTTGGATCATGAATTTCTTTAATTTTGGATATTCGAGATTCGGGGACATCTGAACTTCCAAAT